GACATTGCACAATTGTGACATCTGTCAGCTTTGAAATTGTCGCAGATTTTTCGAATTCAGAGTTGAATAATCCCATTTGCTATTTTATTTCCACTCGTCACAGCAGCAATAGCACCATCACCATCTAGCAGGAAAATGTAGAATCAACGTCTCGCTCGTTGTGACGTAGAAAAATCATAGGAGGCGGTCGAGTGATTTTTCTGAAATTTTCAATACGTAATAATGGCCGAATACGCGCACCATATCTTATATACTTTCATCATTCTGAAATGAATAAAAATTAAACCTGATTTTTTTCTGTAGAAGCTATTGGCACGTGGCGGGCAGTTTCACCAGCTTGACGCTCAACATATTGAATTATCCATGTGGCACTAAGATTAGGTCCAAGCTTAGGTTCAATTTCTAGTTCTTCAGCCAATTCCTCTGCAGTTAAAATAGCGATTTCAGAGTTAGTATTTCTATATTCTTACGAGAAAGTGCAGCATTCTTTCAACATTCCTGTGCATTTACTGAGATCTATATCTGTTGATTGTGAGATGCGCTAATGACGTTGATTTGAAAAATTTGAGGAATTTATAGGGGTTTCTGCGGCGCCCCTTTTCATCCGGCGCCCTGGGCGGTCGCCCAACCGCGCCCTACCCTAACGCCGCTACTGCTCGGTACGCACGATGTTCCACGAGCATAATAGGGATTTTCTTTCGTGCGATCCAAGAGATGAAACAAAGTTATTGGTGAACATTCAGAAATAAATGATTTCGTGAATGTTTGCTCGATTGGGGACCATAAAGTTGAAATATAAATATCTCATATATTTTACATAGCAGTGCGCGAAGTAGGTACTTCGCGCACTGTTTTACTTCGCGCATTGTTATGTGCAAGGTATCATGGTAACGTAGGGAACTGAGAAAAAGTGTCACTTCGCAATTTGTTATCAATGCGCGAACCTTGTCATTTTTTGACGTTTGTAGAAAAAATATATTTGCTTCGAATTTCCGTATTTTTTCAGTCCAGCCTAATGTTGCTATCAGATTGAAGGAAGAAATATCAAGTACAGTTCTGCTGATGCATCATTGTGAAAATTTTTCACTTGATTATCTCGGCAGTTTGTTTATTTCAACAAGATTTTTTACACTGAAGTTTATGAACAGAGTTATCACTACCAAAAACTAAAAAATAAAATTTAAAATTAAAAGTTGTGCAACATTCATAATCTATATCATTTCAGATTTAGTTATGATAATGATCATATTAATTAATCTGATTATATTTTAACCCACCTTTCGATTCTCAGTATGTTCATTCGAAAAAAATATATATTCATTATTCCAATTTTTTTGGGATCTTCTCTCCTCGTTTCTATAAAATAAGAACATGAATATTATTTCAATATACGTGTAGTAAGGACAAATCAGATGATTTGCCCCAAAATGTCACTGCGTTTAAAGAATTTTCCTATCAGATAGCCTAAAAGAAAAATTCACTAGCTTGTCAGTGACAAATTGTATTGAAAAAATTTTTGGAGAAGAGAAATAAAGGTATATAGAAAAAATATCAAATTTTCACTTATAAGTGCCAAGAGATGCCTTCTTTGTGCATTGAATGTCATGTGAGAATGCATTCCAACAATAATTAGATTAAGATAAATTCATGAGTTTTTTCACATTTTATGCAATTAACGTTTTTGAGGCATTATTGTAGCTATAAATTTCATAGTGAGCGCCACAAAATAATTCACATACGTTCATTTGAGCGCCGCGAATTCAGATCTAATCGAGATTTGAATGCATCGTTGGTCGTTTTTGCATGACACGGCTTGAACTGAAACTTCTGCTGTCGGTTAAAAATCACTACCAAGCACCGTTTTTTATAAGTTACCGTCGGTCACATATGACTGACAAAGCCTGTGATAGAGAGAGAAAAACAGGGTCCTGGCAGCAGTCAGAGTGGTAAGTAACTTGCCCTGTCAGGATTTGATTTTATTCTTCATATCTGAGTGGATGCACAGTGGCAGAAAGGGCTAGTTACACTAAACATCAAGGACGCAATGGAGCTATGCGCCCATTATCTACATGTCAGGAAATGGAAGAAGGGGTTATGTACGCATGAATCCATATGTATATCAAAAAATGCGGTAAATAATAAAAAAACAACCTAAAACTATTCCTCACAATTGCCTGAATCAAATTATCAAACTAGCTTTCATTAAAAAATGCCAGCTAACTTTAATAAAACCGTACTCATATTTGTAACATAACTCCTTCTTCCACTTGCCCCTTCAATTGTGACGTCACTTCAGTTCAAATGTTCGTGCGGAAGAAACAATCAAGAAGAGTTCGATCATTCAAATTGTTTTAGTGGCGTACTATCACGTTCTCCGTTGAATTTCAGGGATGAAATTATTCGTTAATTTGAAGAATTACACAAAATTCTGATATTTCGGGAATATTCGTTAGACTGTCGACTGTATCATATTGATTTGCTGAATATACAGGATGTCCGGGAAGGTCATGTCGTAAATGATGAGGCTTATAGAGTGAGCCAAAATATTGTCTGTATGTAAACGGCTGTTCAGCGATTATGTTTTATACAGGATGGTACAATTTTTTTCGTTTGATATATTTGACATTTTGCTTCCACCGTTCGATTCCTTCACCTTCTTTTCTACAAAAATAGTATTATTTATTTCTATCGATATCTTGTACCGTTCTAGAAAACATCTCATTTTAAAAACATACATCCCAACCATTTCAAAGGTAATAACAACTCTACTCATACAATAACGTCATGGTAGTTGCAGGGCCGATAGAGTGAGCTAAAATAATGTTAGTACTTCATATAAAGAAATTTCTATCGCACTTCGTGACTGAGTTGTTGACCACTTTATTCCTGGAGATATACCAAAACCTATCGAACAAAAAAGGTTTAGATTATCCTCGACTCCGAAGATCAGGTATTTTATTTTTAGGTTAATATAGCGGAATTCACATAAACATCACCTTTTTGGATTCAAGATTGCAGTTATTTTCCAGATTTTTCTCTGAGCCGTTTTAGTACTAACTTTATTTCCCTCAAGCCTCTATGACGGATAGTTTCTCAGATACCTCGCATTCTTAGTTGGCCACTCTTACTTTGTTCACCGTTTATTGGTTGTAGGTGAACGTATAAACCATGGGTGTCATTGGAATGGGGGGAGGGGGCAATAACTACAAATATTTTCTCCACTTTGTTTTTATTTCTTGGAGCGCACGAAAGGAAATTCCTATAATGATCGTGGAACATCGTGCGTAGCTAGCGAAGATAGGAAGAGGAGGTAGGTGTTATAATTTGTATTGACTTTTGTAAGGTATATGTTCTTGGGAATACTTCCATTGGCAAATAATTCCAAAGCTTCGCCATTATATAGACGAACGAGTTTTGGTGTTCAAGGTTAACAACGAAGGGATGTGATGACTGGGCCTGTCGAGTTCGTCTGATTGGTTTTGCTTGTGATGGAATTATAGCAGAGGTTTCTGAGGAACTTTTCTCGTGGAAGTATCTATAGAAAAGTGAAAGGTCGCCGACTTTTCTACGGTTTTCTAATGGGGTGAAAGGGTTAGTGAGTGTGGTATCACCCACCAGGCGAATGGCTCTTCTCTGGATGGAATCTAAGAGCATTAGCGTATGTCTAGGTGCTGAACCTAATTCATGAGAACAGTATTCTGAACTGGCCGTATACATCATCAGTATTCTATCAGTACTGTAGGTACTTGAAATTGAAAAATAAATATTTCAAAATTGTTGAAACATCATTCAGCATAATAGTGTTGGTATCATACATAAAAAATATTCTTGAATAAGGAAGCAAATCATCCGAAAATGTAAAAATTACTATAGACTGATTATAACTCATTTCCTGTTATGAGTGATAGTTGTTGTATTGTATTGTATTTTATTAAATCCTTACTATCGATACAATAGAATGGACGACTCAATACAGGTAATAAAAAATACTTGAATACCAAATTTTAAATGATACAAAGCTATAAATAACACAATGGACGAGTCACAACAGGTAATGTGAAATACTGTAATACTAGATCATGAATGGAATCCAAAACAATTATACAAGTATAAGTAAATAGCTGAAGTACAGCAACAATAGTTGATTACACAAGACGAATAATAATATTGTTGATTCAGATTCGATGAAAAAATGGACGTGAATCAGGGAATCCCTGAATTATTATGCTTAATTGAAAAAATGAGTCAGTATTCCTTTATCCCAAAAAAATTCGACACTATCCACCTGCTCGGGAAACCTACAGACAGTACCAAAATATTTTTTTCTTGATTTTCTGATTTTTGTTTCTATTTTTAAATCATTTTATTTCAATTGCAGCAAACTGAGAACATGTTACGCAATATTTTACAATTTAATAATGTAATGAAGTTGTCAGTCTGGAAGAAATTTAATTTCCAATTTTAATGCATTTTACCTGGAATCTCGTCAAAAATTTACATGTTGATGGTTGTTTGTGATGGAATGTAAGAACTAACGTATAGTAACATGTGTTTTTGTAAATTTCGAATTTGCAAGTATACCTACATAATATTATATGGTAAACTGTTGATAAATGATTTTTATTTATTGACTTATAGAATGAACTCGTAATAATCTGAAATTAAATGTGAATGTCATTTAACCTATAAACGTCAAAAAATGTCCAGTGTAATTTCATGCTCCGTCCCCCAAGAAGGAAAAAATTTCCAAGAAATTTGTTAAGTTGCGATACGAAATACAGGCTTTAAATTGATCGAAAATGTTTGGTGTGAAATTTTCACCGTTGCCTGAGTTTCTTGATCCCCTTCATGGTATACACTGAGATGGAGTTGGTGTCACTCTGATAGAAGTTTAATTCTCAATTTGAAGACCTTCCCTAAAAATATGTTGTCTGAGTTTCTTGACCTCCCTCTGGTATTCACTGAAATGACGCCCCTGCAATAAACAATCACGATTCCAGGGAGAATGGGAGACGCGAGTGAAGAAGAAAAAGACCAGGCAAGCGTCGGCGGGCGGCAAACAGGACAAGCCCGACGACCCGAACGCCCCCTCCGCCGTCCCGGCGACTGACGACTGGGACGACAATCCCACCATCGTGGGCGGCGGGGCGGACGACGGCGGCGCGGGGGGGCGGTCGCAGGGCGGCGGCGGGCCGGACGGCAGGAGCGCGCGCAGCAAGAACGGCCCGCCGCCGCGGCTGCACGGCCGCCACCAGAGCGACGGGCGCGGGTGGCGGGGCAGGGAGCGGCACGAGAACGACCGCAACAGGTGGGTTGGTCGTTTCGCTTTACTCTAGGCGAATCTCGGGTGTGAAACTAGCCACATCCACAAATATACACTGAGCAAAATGTATGTATTTGAAAAAAAAATCCAGAAATCCAGTTGGATGAACATTTTGAGGTTGGAGCCGAACAAAATTGATAGCCCTAATTAGAATTAGGCCCTCCGCACACGGGTCGATCGGCGACATGGGCGACGCGATTCGAATCGAACGACTGTCTCCCCTCTACTCGACTTCCTAAGCAAAGCATCTGGATCCCGCACACGGGTCGTTTAGTGGTCGTCCAGAAACGTACGATTTGAGATCTTCTCGTTTTCAGTCTCACGCGATTAGCAAGGAAGCAGTTTGATCGAGTGAATCTTGCGTCTCAATGGAGAAAGTTGTTCAATCATTTTTCAATCATTGTGAATATTTGTGTTACTTACCTTAAGTTCTTTACTTTCAGTAACTAGAACATATAATCTTATGTTTCCAATTTATACTCTCAAATTTAGGAACTGTTTGACTATTTGAAATACCTATATGAATCTTACATCAATGTTATTAGTATGCGTTCTTCTGCGCTGACACATTCCCTCATATTTGTATCCATATAATTTATGGCTGGAGCAAGAGCTTCCACTGGATCAATATATGATTCCTTCGACATTCTATAAAATGCCAGAAATTTTGTGTCACTCTCTTGCATTTCACTTGCAGCAACAAAAAGTCGAGTCTGAAAATTTCGTGCAATGTACGGATGCACCCATAAACTTCGTTGTCTTCTTCTTCTGATCTGCCGGTGCCACAAAAACATGAATATGTCCTCCTCGTCACTGGAACTACTCATTTTTAGCGAAAACTTTCTTTTTGAAGTTGCAAAAAATAGAGTAACTAAGTTGATCAGACGCGAGTCGACTACACAAAACGTCGACCCATATGCGGATGACACACACTCCCTTCTCTTGAATCGTACGAATGCAGAAATTGTGACGTCATTGCAATCGCGTCGCCCATGTCGCCGATCGACCCGTGTGCGGAGGGCCTAAGCCTTCAGTGAGTGTGGAAATATTTTGTCAGACTGTAGGAGGGATGCTACAAGGGGTGAAAATCAATGAAAAAAAATAATAACTTCTTTAAATGACTATTTTAAGGTTTCTAACTAGCAGAAATCGATTACAATAGTGGAAATACACCTCCAGTACCTATTTAAATATTTTGCCAGGCCGTAAGAGGGATGCTAAAAGGGGTAAATATCAGAAAAAAGTTATATCCTTTAAATGATGATGTTAAGGTTTCTAACTAGCTGAAAACGATTGCTCTGGTGGAAATACATCTTGAGTACCCAATAAAATATTAGTTAGTAAGAAACATCAACATCATCATTTAAAGAAGATTTTTTTTTCTAATTTTCACCCCTTGTAGCATCCCTCCTACAGTCTGACAAAATATTTCCACTCACTGGAGGCGTATTCTGATTAGGGCTATCAATTTTGTTCAGCTCCAACCTCAAAATGTTCATCCAACTGTATTTCTGAATTTTTTTTGCAAATACATACATTTTTCTCAGTGTATACAGTGCTAGTCAAAAGTCCCCTCCCCCCCTCGTATCTTTTGAACGGGTATACTTATAATAATGAAATTTGGAGGGTGGAAATAAACGGATGTAGGCTTCTCAACTGGTCATAACGGGTGACGCAATAGTCATAAATGACGTCACAAGGCCACTGTGACCAACAATTTTAAATGGGACCCTATGGCAAGTGACAGCTCGTTTGAAAGGTATTGAAAATACCTATTTAGTCATACCAATTTTATTTGGGTTTCGGCTGATTTTGATTGATAAATTGAAGAAATACGAAAATTATAGTTTCGCATTTAATTAATAAAGATTTTCAAATACGCCTCTGGTTAATTGTCAAAAAGGTTGACGTGTTTGAATTATACCTTGAAAATTTACCTAAGCTATTGTTTAACGAGACATTTAAGTGTTTACATAGGCAAAATGGTAAGTACTGTAGCCGACAAAGTACCAGCTACCTTAATAATTGGTGAATGTAGAAACAATTTCCATGCAGCGGAACGACTGTTTAATGAGAGGTACCCCGATCGCCCGATATCGAGGGTTTATTTGAGGGAGCTTCTTCGGAAGTTTGAAGCTTCAGGTAGTGTTCAAGATGCCAAACGATCTGGTCGACCAACAATTAGTGATGACAAAAAAATTAACATAATTGGAAAAATGGTAGTAAACCCTACTTCTTCCACAGCCCAAGTTGCGTCTATCTGTGAAGTCAATCAAAGGACAGTACATAGGGTGTTGGATAAAAACAAATTTCATCCATACAAATTAAAAATGGTGCACCAACTTTCAGATGGTGACCCCGACCGAAGACTAGAATTCTGTGAAACTATGTCCAATAAAATGAACCAACAACCAGGCTACATACAGACAATTTGTTTTAGTGTTTTAGTGACGAAAGTACTTTCTTTCTCAATGGAAATGTTAACACTCAAAATGTGAGGTATTGGAGTGACACAAATCCTCACATCTTTCGTGAAAAACATACTCAATTTCCAGAAAAAGTAAATGTTTGGGCAGGTATTTCGGGAAACCACATAGTTGGGCCTCTTTTTCTCAATGCTAACTTAACCGGTGAATTGTATCTGGAGATGTTACAAAATGATATTGAGGCGTTAATTCTTGAAATTCTAGAAGATAATCCAGATGAATTCGACAACTTGGAAATAACGTTTCAACAAGATGGTGCTCCTGCACAATATTACGGTGCAGTAAGACGTTACCTAGATGAAGAATGGTAGATGGATTGGACGACGAGGTTCGATCGAATGGCCAGCTCGGTCACCGGACCTTACACCATTAGATTTTTTTCTATGGGGGTACTTGAAATCTAAGGTTTACGCTACAGCACCTGACAGTATTGCCATTCTGAAACAGCGAATTATTGAAGAATGTAGGGCAATTTCCGCTGACACACTGGGACGAGTACGACAAGAGTTTAGCTATAGGATGCATTACTGCCAGGAAGTAGATGGAGCACATTTTGAACACTTATTATAAGAACTGGTTCTTGAATCTTTATTAATTAAATGCGAAACTATAATTTTCGTATTTCTTCAATTTATCAATCAAAATCAGTCGAAACCCAAATAAAATTGGTATGACTGAATAGGTATTTTCAATACCTTTCAAACGAGCTGTCACTTGCCATAGGGTCCCATTTAAAATTATTGGTCACAGTGGCCTTGTGACGTCATTTATGACTATTGCGTGACCTGTTATGACCAGTTGAGAAGCCTACATCCGTTTATTTCCACCCTCCAAATTTCATTATTATAAGTATACCCGTTCAAAAGATACGAGGGGGGGAGGGGACTTTTGACTAGCACTGTATATGTGGATGTGGCTAGTTTCACACCCGTAGGCGAATCTTGCTAAGGAATACGCCCTCTACTGTTTTATAATATTACTAACGATGACGACCGCAACAGGTGGGTTGGTCGTTTCCATAGACCTATTATCCACAGGAGACGGAACTATTTACATTTGAATAGGATCAGACATTCCCAAATATTGGTCCACTGTATGTTACTAGTGCGGCCGACTAGATTGTGCGGTTGCCAGATATTCGTTTATGAAAGAAGATTCGTCATAATTATCATCATACATACAATATCTAGAACAGTATATTTGGAGCAATACGGTGCTGATGATGCTTTGACTGTACAATATGCCATACAGGGATAATGCTCTGAATCACATGTGTGCAAGAAACTGTTCCATTTAGACACTGACGTGTCTTTTAACAAAAAAGTATGGATACGCATTTTCCACAACCAGTGGTGTAGATATTAAGGTACTATAAACGGCAATGGGTGTGGATAATATGAGGATTTATTTTGAGATTTTCGATTGTTTTTTGTTTATTGCATCATGATTCAAAACTGAGAAGGTCTGTTATGTATTGTATTCACTTCTTGAAGATTGCAAAGCAATAAAGTGTATTTTCATAATATTTCATGTTTCTATCTGATAATGCAAGAGGAAAAATTTAGATATCTCTCCTTGGTTGCCAGGAGGATCGCCTCCCCACCAAATACCTTTTTGTATTCGCGGGAATCATCACCAGGTGGCGCTCGGTTTTCATCGTTCCATGTCAAAGCCACGTTAAAACTGGGGGAAAACAGACTCAATCCTCACTCAATCCCATTAGTGCCATTAGATTGTGTACTGTGTACTGATAAGAGTGATAACACTTTATGTCATTGTCAAGTTTGACAACTACAGCTACAGCAAGATGTATGCAATGTAGTCTATGCATTTTATCCATAGACAATAGTTTATTATCCCCCAGTTTGAAGTTCGTATTATGTAACCTAGATGTCGCCCACTTCGTGAATCTCGCGAATTTCCACCACCATTTCAATCCATCTTGTATTCATATTTTCTCGCAACTTGTCATGATTGTAATTTATTCATAATCAAATATATCTATATACCAATGTTTATTTCCCATTTCATATATGTTGGTTTCCATCTATGATTTTTTGTTGCTATCCGAGGAATATTTCCAATGCCATTTCTTGTAGTATCTAGTACAGTAATCAATGTAAAAAGGAATAATGAAGAAAACATCACAAATGTCAAATAACTTTCGGTGGTGGACGTACTTTATGTGACTCTTGAGGAGGAATATTCTAGTATATCTACCTATTGTCTATCTCAACCAAATATGAAAATTAAAATAAAAAGAAGAAGAGAATGATTACCCATATATTTTTTCTCAAATTTTGAATCAAATTCGAAAAAACAATTATTATCTGAAGAATAAATCTCAAAATCATCTCTCATGATGAGTTATTATAGGCCCGGAACATGTCCCCTCATGTAACATAACAATGTTCACCTATTCAATGTCGTGTAGATGATCTTGAGATTTATTTTTGCTTCAAATACTACCACTCGACTTTGAGCAGTATGAACTTCTTCACACGTTTAAGTTCTTGTCTGGTAAATTCAACATAAAATGACACCACGCCGAATATTGATCGAACTGCTGAATAGCTAATATGAAAATCGTCTAAAATTCAGAATATCATGCATTATCATCCATCATACCTATTTTTTCGTCGATTTCTACTTGTCTCAAACTACAAAAATGCACCACGAATAGTGACGGTTCAATTCGCTATATTATGGGTCACTATACTATATCACTCTCATTGACAAATAATATTCATATTTTGAACCTACAGTGCAGCACGCCACTGGTATTCGTTGCAACCAACAATATTGCAGTGTTGCCAATAAGGTGGCAAAATACTTGTGTGATAAAAGGTTCGATCGGTATTCTCTGTCATACTTATGGGCATCCTTATGTAATCATTGGGGCAAAACAAACAGAGTTTTATGAATGAGATGTTGCGTCTCCCTGGGATAATAGGTCTATGGTCGTTTCGCTTTCTATAGGCAAATCTTGCTAAGGAATACGCCCTCTACCGTTTTCTAATATTACTAACGTATAGGCCATTGATTGCTTTGTTTACATCAGTTTGCATGTATTTTGAATGAGAAGTATTTGTGTTTTAATCGTCTATAATTTTGTTTGAGAACTTTAATAAACGTTTCAAAACATGAATCATTATTGTTTATCTTGATAAAAAAATTATAAATATTTCATACCTTTCCAAAATCAGGACAATCCTAAGTTTTATTTGAAACTAAGTTGGAAACAAAGAAGTGATCGATAGAATAAAGGTGTGGATTCATAGCTGAAGATTTTTCACTTTTCACTAAAAAATGTACTCATATATTTTCATATAAATGTCTATTATTAATATAATACCTACTTTTTGGGGTAATGATAAAAAACAAACAAATTTTCAACTGATGAATCAACTCCTAAACGGAAAACGCTATTTGACGACGACGTGAGTCATTTTGACATCGATAAAAAAACCACGCTATCAAGAGAAATTCATCCGATAAAAAAAAGCTCCTTATAAAGAACATTTCATTCCAATAATGTATGCTGAATTTCCTTCCAAAAATATTATGTTATCAGGGTAATATCCCAGCCATCTATTTGAATTTTAATGAAAATCACCATCCTATACAGGTTGAATCATGAGAATAATTCTTGTTCAATAATGATGAGAACTCATAGCTCACATATGTTGGTACATATAAATTTCAACTAGAGGTAGGTAGGCAGGTTATCTATTGTTGAACACTGACCACATTTATCCATATGTGTATATTTTCTAATATTAAAATGTTGTTACATGCATTCTTTTCATTTATATAACTGTTGTTCTGCTAGAAGTGTATCACTATAAATTGAAGTAGGTGTTTATACCCTATTTCTATAGGTCCTGTGCACGATGACCGACCATGGAGGCAAAATATTGAAACACAACCTCACTCTTCTGTGAATTAGGCATTCCAGAACACGTGACTTTTGACATATTTCTAATGGCCGCCTGTAGGCACACAAATATTTTTTGTCGATTTACGTAGCAGCGGTATAATCTTGGGTAGATATATCAAATAATGATAATGCCTGTTTTGAATAAAAGTGGATATTTATAATCCTTGGATCGCTATAACAAAGATATTGCGACACGAAAATATGTGTGCCTACAGTCGGCCATATTGATTTAGATGGTTTGACAGCATCTTGGAATGGTCAATTATCGAAACACAACCTCACTTTTTTATTTGTTTACAGAGGAATCAAAAGGTTGAAATAGTTTTTCACAATATTTTGGCATACGAATCGTGTTTCTTGCGTTATTCATTAATTCAAGCATGCCTTCGCATTGTGCTGTTGTACAATGCACAAAAAATGCAGCAAGAGACTATGGAATATGATTTTTCAGGTAAATAGTAATCTCACATAGTTATCATTATGACATCTTGTCATTCCTTATTAAAATTCCTTCTGCCTTCTGCCACTTCTGCAATACAAGCTAATACTGCTAATAGATTGAAAATGTCTACAACACACACGATCGTCAGCATGTCAGACCAGTCTTCCCGATTGATTGCATGAATCCAATCTTCTTGCATTATTCTAGAAATTTCAGGTATTTCTATTAGCTCCTATGGCAGAAGGAATTCCGATGAGAAATCAGAGAAATAACCAAATTTCAAAAATGAAAATTATATGTGAGTGACTATAGTAGGTACTTACTTTTAAATCATAATGTACCATCCGGATTACTCCATCTTCCGCTGCAGTTTTTGTGCATTTTGCAACAGCACAATGTGATGGCATGAGCGAATTGATGAATAGCGGAAGAATACGATTCATATGCCAAAATAATTGTGGAAAACTATTTCCATCACTTGTAAACAAATAAGAAAAGTGATGTTGTGTTTCAATGTTTTGCCTCCAGCGTCGGTCTTCTGACAGTTCTTGCACGCAACCCATTGTCCCATCTACGGCTATGATTGATTTGACAGAAAATTTAACCTCTAAAATCGTATCTGACAATCATGCGCTACTAGGGAAATTGACGAGGGGTAGACAGCTCTAGCGATATGTGTACACCATAATCAATACTCAATTCATCAACTGTACTCAACATATAATCAAATGTAATCAAATACTCAAAATTGAATGAACAACATCTCAAATGTAATGAACAAGTCTCAAATACAGTCCGTTTCAAATGTAATCAAACTATCTCAAAAGTAATCAAATCGTCACCCAAACCATTGTATAATAGAAAATAAAAAAGGACCAAAGTTATGCTGTGTCCGAACTCTTATCAAACTAATACCACTACCATCCAGTGACTCTAGTTCTAGACATGACCTTCCTTATTTCTCAAAATCTAATTATAGATCTTATAATCGAAATGCGCTTCATCCCTGTTTCCCATAAAAATCCAATGGTTATTCCTTGACAGCGGCCACCAGCAGCACGACGAGGGTGGCCGGCCGGACTTCCACCGCGACAGGGAGCGGCGCGGCAGGCCGGGCGGGCCGAGGGGTGGCCGGGGCGGGGGTCGCGGGGGCGGCCGTGGGGGGCGGTACGCTCCGCGCGGCGGCAGAGGCGGATCGTCGTACGGCAAGCCGATCGACACGTGGGACAGCTCGAATACGTGGGACAACAGTACGGCCGCCGTCGCCACCGATAATCACGCTGCAGGTGAGTTGGTGTCGTGTGGTTTCGTATTATTTTGTTCATTTCAATTGTATCTTGTAAAGCATTTGCAAGGAATGGCGATCACAAATTCTGATTTTTTCTATTAGATTATGTTTTTTTTTTTTATAAATACTGATTTTTTCCCTTAATAATAAGTTTCTCAGCGAAAATGTCAAGTCAAAATCTTATCCCATAGAGAATTCTACGCAGAATCCAGTGGTGCACTCATTTTTTTTTCTTGGTGTATGGTTTTGGAGATTGGGCTCAAACTTATGATTTTTTGAATGGAACACCCTCTATTTTATCAGCTCATGACATTCCTTAAAAATGATATATAATGTATGAATATACAGTTTTCGAAAATGCTCCAAAATCACTAAGACATCGAATTTCAATAGTGGGCTATGGATTTTTTCTATAAAAAAGTACCCCAATTGAAATTTTTTTCCTCTCGTAATATACTACTCAAAATTATCTACTTTGTCGAGCAAAAAAAATTATCCAACACAATTTCTTCACCAACTGCGATCACAAAAACTTCAGCAAAATCAAATAATGCGGATTAGGCATTTTTTTTTACAAAACATTGTATAATGGCAATGGATTCGGACTAGTCGCGAATACTCCTGTATAAATTTTCTACACAATATCTAATTTTTAATCAAAGTGACAATTTTTGAATTATTGCATTTGTCAATGATAATTCTTCTAAGAATATGAATGATACCAAATATGAAAGTATTCAGCATTAGCAATTTCCGAAGGCAAGTAGCTTTCGTCTTCAGATACATTTATAAATTGCACGCTTTGTTTAAATTAATTTTACAAAATGAGTAATGAATGTACATATAGGTACTAATGATATGTATAAACCGATTCAGATCAAATTAAATTTTTCTATTTCATTATATGGAACTTTCAGGAAATGATATCACAAAGATGCTATTTTCACAGGTGAGAAGTAATGAATTCGCGAAATCTTGATATTCTGAAAGTCCTGTCAACTTTGATAGAACTAGGCATTCTTATTGTTTGGTCACTGATTAATTTAATGCAAAGAATGATATTCATCTGCATATTACGATTAATTCACGTAGGGCTAGATTTCCCTAGTTGATTGCTTTTGACTGGTGACTGTAAGTAATGTTATTTGAATGTTTTTGTTAGGAGAACAAATGAATATATCACAAATGATGAAACGATGACGAGACTGAGGGTGAAATCGATGAAAGCGACCAACCACAACAAATAAGTCTTTTATTAGTTGTGCAATGTTGCATTCATGATCTCACACCGAAGATGATTCTGGCAAACTGATATAAACCCCAAAAAATACCCCCAAAACGGTCCAGCTTCGCCAGAAACTGTAGAAATTGTTTTTCAATTTCCAGAGGAAAACTGGGACGACACTTTCCCTGGTACGGACGAATGGTCGACGGAGGAGTACCAGGGCAGCCTGGCCGACACTAAAGTATTCACGCCCAGCATGGCGCAGATGGAGGCGGCCGCCGCCAGCGATGCCGCCGCCGCTGCGGCCGGTCAGGCGATGGCCGATCCCTCGATGGGCGGTGCGCTGATGGGGCAGTCGATGCAGCTGCCGTCGCAGAGCCCCGTGCCGCCCATGGTGGGCACTCTGACTGCCGCCCAGACGCAGTACTTCTCGCAGGTGTGTTCGGAGTGCACATTCTTTTTTTCTGTGACGGGAAAAAAGTTTGGCATTTCATCTCTGTTGGCAGGTTATAAAATGTCACTTTTGATTTGATTATTCAAAAGGTTTTTTGAAGATAATTTTCAAGGTATATTTTTCAATTGATATAAGTGGTTTCAACGCTTCTTTATATTGACCTCCCCAGCCTATTATGCCATAAGCCAAAATAGATTGAAAAATACTATAATAGAAACTGATAATTAAATTTCAACTGACAATGTTTCTCAGTAACCTGAGTTTATAGACTGTATTCCTTAGTTTTTGTATCAATTCATTAATTTGTTTATGCCATTTGAGCTTGCAATCTAAGTGAATTCCCAAATACTTTACTACATAAATTTTTGTAATATATTCGGTACAATTGCATTGCTGTTCATTTTTTAAACATGGAATAGTATGTATCGTCAATTTATCAATTCATGTTGCATGAAAAACTGAATCAGGGTTGGAATGAGTCATGACTTTTATGAAATCGTCCGACTTGTCAGTTTGATACAATAATCCTCCCGCTCGGACTATTCCATCTGTTAAACTGACACTTTGTAATTATGCAACAAGCTATCGATGTATAACCCGAATATTTTGAAGTATTCATAGATTTACTACTGAAATTCTCCAGACACGTCAACGTTCGAATGTATTTACCTACATTTGGCGAGCAATATTTATTTATTTATTTATTATTATACATCCAGCAGGCCCTAGAGCCCAATTACAGGTATACATAATTACAAACCAAGTGATTAGAAGTGATTAGAAAAAAGTTATACAAAATATCTGTTAGGAACTGAGTTAAGAATAACACGTTTGAACTGTGCAAATGATAAAAAGAAAATATCGACAGTAGAGATATTGTTTACACTTCTAGACATTGTTGTTATAGGCGAGTGGAAATTATGTATTGTGTCAGGTACATGTAAGTGAAATGTATTACAAGCACGTGAAGGAGCTCGAGGAACATTGAACATCATTTGTGATAGGATAGTAGAGGAATCTATTTTATGGTGTATAATTTTGTGAATGAATCATAAGTCTCTTATTTCACGATGTTTTTTAAGTGATGTCAAATGGAACTCACTAAGGAGTATGTCATAGTTATAGCCTTTAACAGGATAATTACCATGCCTTTTATAAAATGTAAATTTCAAAAATTTCCTCTGAACATTCTCGATAGCGGAAATATATTTACTATGAGACGGATTCCAAACAACACTACAATAATCAAGCTTACTTCTGACTAACGTTAGATATATGCTTTTCAGAGAATCAAATGATTTGAATTCTTTACAGTTTCGTATCAGAAAACCTAATTTTTTTATTGAAACTGAAATTATATGACCAATGTGATTAGAAAACGTAAGTTTTTGATCAAATATGACTCCTAAGTCTTTCGATTCAGTGACTCGCACTAGAATATTGTCATCAACCTTATAGTTAAAGGTGACTGGAACAACTTCGAGTGAATGTCATAACTTTACATTTTTTAATATTCAACTGAAGTTTGTTCTGGAAGCACCAGTGACTTAGTGAATTCAAATCTTCCTGCAATGCAATGCTATCCATTTCATCTTTTAATTTCTCTGTAAATCTTCATATCATCAGCAAATAAAAGCTTTTGGGATAGGATATGATCAGCAATATCGTTTATGAAAATTAGAAAAAGTGAAGGTCCAAGATTTGATCCTTGAGGGTCACCAGAAGATGCCGTAAAGCAGGAAGATTTGATTCCATCGCACTCAACATAAAGACTACGGTCTGGAGAATATAACCCTTCAGGGATAGCTGGAGTCAACACCAACATGTTTTTTGTTTCAAATTGAACCCTATGGCTTGCGACCCCTCATTGAGAAGCTGGTTGAAAGAGGAAGCCAGAGTACTGATCATATTTCAGTTTGCAGTACGTTTTGGAGTCGCCTAAAATTAAAATATAATTAATTAATTAATTAATATATTTTCACCGTATTTTCATACAAATTTCCACTAGTTTGCCATAACACTTCGTTTCGAACTGTGAATAGGGCAAAAAACTAAATTTCTTTTTGCGGCTATAAAAACACTGGAATACAATTGACCTATCCAAGATGCTGTCAAACCATCTAATATCTTTGTTATAGCGGTCCAAGGATAATAAATATCCACTTTTTTTCAAAACAACCATTATTATTATTTGATATATCTATCAAAGATCGTACTGCTGCTACGTTAATCAACAAAAAATACTTGTGTGCCTACAGGCGGCCATTAGAAATTTGTCAAAAGTCACGTGTTCTGGAATGCCTAATAGCAGATAGCAGTTGTGGCAAAACAATGCCATCACTTGTTTAACACATTTCGAGCGATTGATGCGTTGAAAAAAAATTCAATTTTAAAATTACATTTCAATTTTATGCAACCTTTAAAAGTATGAAAAACTAAAATTTGATACGCTAGATTCCTCTTTGTTGAGGATAGTTTCACCTACCCCTGGATGGATATATTCTCGATATTGCTTCCAAATATTAGGTAAATACATTACGTCGTTGACGTATGCCGGGAATTTTTAGAAAAATATTCACCTTCTCGCTATCGAATTTATTCCAGTCGAGGTCTCCACACTGTATATTATAACTTCAAATGATGAAACGATGACGAGACTGAGGTGGAAATTTGAGAATGCAACATACCACAACAAATAAGTCTTTTATTAGTCGTGCAAAGTTGCATTCACGATTTCACGCCGAAGATGACTCTGGCAATCTGATAATAAATACCAAAGCTTTCGATTAATCGAGCATTTCAGTAGTTCTCAGTACATCTTGATCTTCTTTTACAGTTGCAACAAAATAACGACACCCTTGGCAAACCCTACATAAGTCCCAACCAGTCTTACCAAAACCAAAACTACGAGAAAACTACTCCGGCTCAGTACAGTGCCGTCAATCAGTACCCGAGCAATGTCACCTCTCAGTACAACACGAGTCCTGCATCACAATACTCGTCGTCGCAGGTAAGATACAATTTTCCATATTGTAATGTAATGTATTTATTAAATCCTTCTTACTATCGATACAATAGAATGGACGAGTCAGCACAGGTAATAAAGAATGCTAAAGTACTAAATTATAAATAATACGAAACTACAAATAGTACAATGGACGAGTCAGAACAGGTAATAAGAAATACTAGAATAATTATATTATATATGGAAGTCCTAAACAATTAAACAAGTATAAGTAAAAGTAAATAGCAGAGGTACAGCAATAATATTTCACATAATTGGACAGGAACAAATGATTAGACAAACAATAACAATCAAATTACAGTGAAAACTCAAATTAAACTGGACAGAAAGTTATTAAATTCTTCCAAATTGTAAAAGCAATTTTGTATCAATATTTTCTTCAGTCTACATTTGAAAACTTCACAATTAGGACTAGCTTTTACATAATCGGGAAGCCTATTAAAGTAGGAAGCTCCAGCCCCAATAGGCGATTTTTTATAGAAAGTGTGTTTTGATTTTATGACTGCCAAATCATTTTTATGTCTGGTGTTATGACTGTGGACATCGCAATTCCTTGTCAGTTTATTTCGTAACCGGTAAATATGGCACAATACTTTAAGCAAATGAATGGAGGTGACTGAGAATTTTATTTTCCTTGAATACATCGCGACACGAAGTTTGAATAGGAAGGTTGAATATTAAACGAATTATTCTTTTTTGTAAAATAAAAACTCTTCGGATGTCACGCCCTTGTCCCCAAACGATGATACTATAGGCAATTGCCTACTGTCATGCCACACATTTTTCAAACTCTGTTGACAATTATTTTGTTCTCACAGACTATTATTAAAATAGTAAAGAAGATAATGGAAAGCACTAATTTCGAGTGACAACGGAAAATGAAAAAACGCTCTGCCAATTGAGCTAACGGGACATCAGTTGATCAATCGGCAGGAACGTCGAGTTCTCATCACATACCAGGCGGCATAATTCTTTCAATTCCCGAAGTCACTCGAAATCATATGCACTATATGAAGTATCGCTGGTAGGATGGCACTATACAGTCTCCATATTCCCCAGTTCGTCCTCTGGCAATGTCTTTCCTTGTATACGGAAATGTCCGCAAGCAATCTTCTTGTCGGTTGCTCGACCGAAAAAATACATATAATAAAGAAGATGATGAAAAGCCCTAATTTTGAGTAACAACGGAAAATGAAAAAACCAACGCCCCGCGTGAGAGTCGAACTCACAACCTTTGGGTTACATGCCCAACTCTCTGACATTTGAGCTAATGGGACATCCGTTGATCAATCGGTAGGAAGGTCGAGTTCTCATCATACACCATCACAGTTTTTTCATTTTCCGTTGTCACTCGAAATTAGTGCTTTCCATCATCTTCTTTATTATATGTAACCGACAAAAATTATCACTCACTCCTATGTATAGATTGCTTGTGAATATTTCCGTACCATCCTGCCAGAGATACTTCATATAGTGCATGATTTCGAGTGACTTCGGGAATTGGAAGGATTCTGCCGCCTGGTGTGTGATGAGAAGTCGACCTTCCTACCGGTTTTTTTTCATCGCTTGGAGCGCACGAAAGGGAATCCCTATAATGTTCAAAGAACATCGTGCGTTCCCAGGGAGGATAGGGACAGGAGGTAGGTATTGGAATTTGTTTTGAACTTTTGGAGAATATATGTTTGTTGGGAATACTTCCACAGGCAATGAATTCCAGAGCCCAGCCGTTCTATGGATGAAGGAGTCTTGATAAAGTGCTGTTCGACATCTTTCGAGGTTGACAACGAAAGGATGTGCTGACTGGGCTTGTCTAGTTTGTCTGATTGGTATTGCTAGTGAAGGGATGATAGCAGAGATTTCTGAAGAACATTTCCCGTGGAAGTATCGATAGAAAAGTGAAAGGTCGCCTACCTTTCTACGGTGTTCCAACGATGTCAGAGAGTGAGTGAGTGTGGCGTCACCCACCAGGCGAATGGCTCTTCTCTGGATGGAATCTAAGAGCATCAGCGTATGTTTTGGTGCTGAACCCCATATGTGGGAACAGTATTCTAGAACAGGCCGTATCTGCGCTTTGTAGATCATGAGAAGCTGTTGAGGTGTAAAGTAGCTTTTCGCACGGAACAAGAATCCGAGTTTTTGTGAAGCAGCTTTTGCGATGGATCTGACATGATTATCCCATGAAAGAGTGTTGCTGATGGAAATACCGAGCATAGATATGGTGGGCTTGGTGGGGATGGTGGAGCCAGACATTACAATATCGGGCATACTGAGTTCCGCCTTTCTAGAGAAAATGCAGGCTTGAGTTTTGGTGGCGTTGAATTCAACTAGGTTGTTTGTTCCCCAGGCTGTGATTTCAGCAAGATCTTCATTGACAGCATTGACCTGCCTGCGCTGTGAGTTCTTAGCAACAGCCTACCATCGCTGGCGCAAAAACCCTAACCTCGCGACTAGAGCAGAATACGTTGATGCCAGGAATAACTGCAGCCAAACAATAGATGCTTTCGAAAGAAACATACAATGCCAATTCGTGGCAGGTAGCCGTGCGGACAGAGTGTCTATATTCTAATTCGCATTCGCTTGCCGGTCGTGGGTTCGATCCCCGTCGACTGCAGAAATTTTTCTGATGGCCCAAGAAAGTGTTTGGGATCACACGTTAAAAGGTAAGGCCCCTGTCATTCCTTGCTCGCACAAGACTTTCGAAGACTTTTGAGGGTTGCTCGTAAGGGGGCAACCGAATGACGGATAGAACAAATTTTAGAACAAATTTTTTTTTTTTTTTTTTTAGAACAAAAAAATTTAAGATCGAAACTCATAGATTGCCCCAATGGCTCCCGTTCGTTTTGGTCCCTTGCTAAAGCGGTCGGAAGAAATTTCACTAATAGTTCATTTCCACCACTGTCCAAATCCGACGGCACGCTAGCAACAACATCGCAGGAGAAGGCAAATATTTTTGCAGAGATGTTCGCAGCAAACGCTACTTTATATTACCAAGGAAAACTGCCGCCAGACATTCCACCCGTTGAGAGTCGAATGCCCGAAATCGTCTTCCGTCAACGCACTATCAGACGAATTTTGCTTGGTCTCAAAACGAATAAGGCTAACGGTCCTGATGGAATTCCACCCATTATCCTCAAAAAATGTGCACCAGAATTAACACCGATTCTCTGCAAGTTGTTTACCATCTCGTACAGGTCGGGTATTTTTCCATCATGCTGGAAGACAGCTAGAGTCCAACCAATCCCCAAAAACAACAAGAACCTGCATGTAACCCAGAGGTTGTGAGTTCGACTCTCACGCGGGGCAATGGAGTTTTTTCATTTTTCGTTGTCACTCGAAATTAGGTCTTTCCATCATCATTTTTATTATATCTATCTTTTCAGTCCAGTAACCATCTTCAGCCTAATTGAAAGGTGCACGTGCTGGCTGTTTGCTCCATCAATTTCATTGATATTTTCCTTTAAGTAGCGCTTTCATAGGGGCACGGGGAACCCCTTTTTGAAAAACCCGTTAATTTATGGTGTTGTCAAAAAACAAAACTTTTTGGCAATGCTCTTCATTGACAACCAATAGTATGCGCTCTCAGGGCACGGGGCCCTTCATTTATTGAGAAACCGTTTTTTTTTTGTACCATTGGAATTCTTGGCTATGGGCAATGACAATTCAAGAAGAAGTAGCATGAAAAATTTTTTCAACTCCAAACCTTCCAATTATGCTGAAGATGGTCTTTTATAAGACCGAAACATGTCCCTTATGATTATGTAACAATATCATTAAAATTTGTGGAGAAGACTTCGAGCATTCCTTCATTCCTCTGATATATTTCACTCCTATTTGAGCAATATAGACTTCTACCAAAGACTAAAGAAGAAGTTAAGAAAAACAACGAAATAATCCACTTGGATTCAATTTCAATTTTGAAGAAATTATGTTTTTATTTTTTATAAACCATCGACATTACGTGTCGCAGGTGTACAGCGGCGGGCAGCAGTACGCCGGGCCGAACGGCGCGTACCCGGAGACGGCGGCCTCGGCGGCGGCGTACCAACCGGCCGCGAGCGGCGGCTACGGCGGGGCGCAAGAGCAGCCGCCCACCTCCGCCCAGCAACCAGCGTCGAGGACGAAGACGCAGCGGGCGAGGGTGCCGCCTCCTTCCAAGGTGAGTGAGAAATTACCACAATAATTGTTAGGGTTCCATTCTTTATTCGAAGATTGAGCTGAATTTTCTGTTAATTTTTTTGTTGAAAGATCATGTTGAAGATGTATTTGTTATTGATTGTTCAATTTAGAAATAACTCCTTGACTATTATTGTAGTTGTTATGATGATGTGACAAAAGATAATATGAAAAAAAACATGTCAATAAAAAGTCAAAAAAACTGAGAATAATATTTTATTACAAAAAGTGATACTTATATGGTCCTTCGAGAAAAAAGAATATCCAGTCTGTGAATATACAGTTAACTAGCAAGAAAATGGATGGAAAGAAGTATAGTGGCCAAACGAAGTCAAGAAGTGAATCTGATTTTCTTGGATTTCCACGAGATAGAATTGATCCTTCAAATGCAGTTGAAGATGTTCAAGATGGAAAATCAAAGAGAGAAAACACAGCTAACAAAGCAGGTACTTCAGTTGGAAAGCAGACTACTTCATCCAAAGCGAGGAAAATTTTAGAATTGAAACTAGAAGCAGCTAAGAAATTAGAAAAACTTGAAGAAGAAATGTTATTAAGGAAAAAAGAAATGATCGAGTTGGAATTACAGCTTCAGATAAGTCAAGTAGCTAGTCAAAGTGATTTAGATAGCATACAATTGGAAGATATTGAGGAAGCTGAAGAAGAATGCTATCCCGTTGGAAAAAATGTTGACCAAAAAGTGAATCATTGGCTATTCAATAATGATTTCAAAGAATATTCATTTCGAGCATCTCAACCTAACGAATTAAACGTTGAATCAAGGAAAACAGACATCATTGAAGAATAAAATACAATGGCATTTCAACCCGCCAGGAGCGCCTCATATGGGGGGAAGTTGGGAAAGGCTGATTAGATCAATAAAAACTACGATGAAGGTTATATTGAAAGAAAAGGTTCCAAAAGAAGAAACTCTGCAGACGGCCCTAGTTGAAATTGAACACAGCATGAATTCAAGACCACTTACATATGTTCCTGTTGACCCAGAAGCTCCAGAAAGTTTAACGCCAAATCATTTTCTGATTGGCATTTCCTGTGGTACTTTACCAGGTGACGAGATTGAGAAAAAAGATTTACGAAAGCAGTGGAAATCAGTGCAGGCAATAATAAACGACTATTGGAAAACATGGTTGAAAGTCTACTTACCTGAATTGAATAGAAGAAAAAAATGGTTTGAAAAGACAGATCCTCTAAAAAAATACGATATTGTTATGATCGCCGACAACACTTTCCCAAAAAATACATGGCCGATGGGTAAAATCGTAAGAGTTTTTCCTGGGAAAGACGGAGTGGTACGAGTCGTGGAAGTAAAAACATCCACTGGAACATACAAAAGACCTGTGACAAGAATTTGTAAGATGGATGTAAGGAAAGTTCAACGAGAATCCCCAGGCGAAACGAGAGAACAGTGAAGAAGCTTCACCAGGGGGAAGAAATGTTGAAGATGTATTTGTTATTGATTGTTCAATTTAGAAATAACTCCTTGACTATTATTGTAGTTGTTATGATGATGATGTGACAAAAGATAATATGAAAAAAAAAACATGTCAATAAAAAGTCAAAAAAACTGAGAATAATATTTTATTACAAAAAGTGATACTTATAGATCATGTATTCAGTTTTTCTGGTATTTATTGATAAAAGGTTAGAGTGGAGCCATTTTTCGAATAATTTCAGATCGTTTTTGTTTATACCTAGTGTAAAATTGAAATAAATTGGATTAAAACATCCTCAAATAGATAAATAAAATGTTAGAAGACTACACATGAGGCGATTTCGAAATTCAATAAATTACCAGATGATATCAAAAACAGCCCAAATATTATGCAATTCAAAAATAAAGTTAAGAAATATATTTATATGCAAAGGAATGATCAAAGCTGAAAGACTATGAATTTCCTTTCTTCTTTTTCACTGTTTTTATTTTTCCCCTTCTTGTTCACTATAATATGACTGTATCTTAATGATGTGTAAGTTTTGTTCACTATTTGTAATTTCAATTATACAACAGTCGATAATACTTCATGAATGATCTTATACCAGGAATTACTGTCTGATCATTCATGTCATTGCTACTAGAAAATTAATTATATTTTATATATTATTTGTATGAAATGTATCAATGAAGAAGAGAATGTAATGCAATAACTGAAATAAATAAATAAATGAAATAAAAAATTTTAGTATGTTTAGAACAACAGTGAGTCGAATAAACGGGGGTTAAATAAAATATGCCATATAAAATTGACTGTAAAAACCAGAGGCTATTCCTGCCCAAAAACTCATTTACATTGTAGAAAGTGCCAGATATTAAGAATTCTTTATATTTTCTCTTGACTTTCTCAAATTGGATTAAAATATCCTCAAGTAGATACATAAAATATTAGAACAATACAATACAGTAATTTTAGTATGTTTAGAACAACAGTGAGTCAAATAAACGAGGGTTAAATAAAATATGCCACATGAAATCTACTGTACATTGACTAGAGGCTATTCCTGCTCATTTACATTGTGTAGAAAGTTCCAGATATTATCTTTTCTCGTAGCTAGAGATGTTTTTCAGTTCATTAGGATTCATTGCTAGATAATTGATATTTTCCATAGATATATTTTATGTATCGGGATTTCCATAAATGTGTGTATGTGCATAAATCAACTCTTATGACTTGTAACATAAGGAACGTTTTTATATTCACCGATGACTCCACCAATCTACTAACTGCGTCCTTATTGGTGGATTTCAGTTTGACGCAACGACGCGTTCATTTATTACTGTTGCATCAACCAAAATTGTAAACCAACCGATGTTTCGAGATGGGGAGAGTAGGTGGAGAGGATTATGAAATGACAGCTCAACCTTAAAAAAAGGAAAAATAGTGGCGTTGGAGACTACGAGATTAGAGTTGAATGGTAATAAGTAAAGAAATAGATGAATTGCCAGAATTTGATTTAGAATACGAAAACAAAGATGTAAGATGAAATTATGGATGCATTGCGTCTTTTTGTCTACCACTGGTGACTCCAACATGTCGGTGCAGCGGAAAATTACGTCAGTCCACCAATGGTAATTCTATGGTGAAAATGAAAACGTCCCCTATATAATATGTAATGTTCAAATGAGGTAATTTAATATTTTAAATATTATAAACACGCTTTTCAACAACAAAAGCAAGCCCCCCTCCAAACAAACCCGCCACTGTACCAAATACTTAGGTTTTTTTTATAGGTTTGACACTGCCGAACCATATTCCTTCACAAAACTAATCACACAACAATCGGAGAACCATTATTAACAATAAAACCGACAAATGACATTTCTCACTATGATTATTGCTGCTCTTCTATTAAACTCTGCGGTGCCGCCCCGTTCATTTATACTTTTTATTTTGATTTGTAAGTTTATAATTATTGGCAGGAAACTTCTAACAATGGGCCTGTTTCAGTGAAAATTTATATTTCATTATTTCGAAGTACTAACCCTAACTAGTTCACAGCCGCAAACCGTTGTTTCAGAGCTCTGTAAACTTTTTAAAATAATTTTTGAAATTCACGATATTTCATAATATGGAAAACGTGGGAAAACGCGTGACGTACTCACCCGAGAACACCATATAAGATTCGACTTGCGTATCGATTCGCTATTTTTTTTTAGTCTTCTACTACGCAATGGAATTAAGTTAATTTCGTTTATAATATGCATATATTGATGGTTTTCCAAACCTCTTATCAATAAATACTGATAAAACTGAATATATGATTTTTCAACAAAAAAATAAACAAAATATAAATTTAAATCTCAGAATTAAAAATGAATCTTTGAAACAAACTAATGAGAAAAAGTATCTTGGGATTTGGTTTGATGATAAATTGAAGTGGGACAAACATATAAATGTTTTGAAGAAAAAAATATCCCCTATTATTGGAGCCCTGAGAAGATGTCCCAAGCTGAATAAAAAAGTTGCAAATATAATTCTATATTCTCATATACTCAGTCGTATTAACTATTTGATAAATGTTTGGGGATACTGTTCAAAAAACAATTTTAATAAAATATCTGCATAAGGTATATAAAAAGACATTGAAAGTACTGTATCGTTTACCATATGATGCACCAACAAATCAATTATATAAAATAACTGAATCATTCTCATTAGAAGAAATGTTCAAAATCGAAAGACTGAAAATTACATACAATATCATAAATAAAAGATTGAAATCTCATTTTATTTTAACACGAAACAATGAAATTCATAATTATCAAACTAGACAACATGGTTTATTTCATCTTGATATCGCTAATACTTCTATAGGCCAAAAAAGATTCACCCACGCTGCTCTCTTGGAATATAACAAATTACCAGATAATATAAAAAATTGCAGAAATACAATAAAATTCAAATACCATCTTAAAAAATTTATCATTTCTGAACGAAATAGATGACTTGTTTTTTTTTTCCAACTTTTGATTCATATTCAAATTGATTTTTGCTCACCAATATGAAATGATTTGTCAAAATTTAATAATTAATGTTTTCAAATATTTTATTATTCATCAGTTTATTATAATTATTGTATTGTTTTAGGTATTATTGTTAACTATACTTCCTTATACCAGAACTTGATTCTGACTGGAAGTAACATTTTCAATAAATAAATAAATAAAATAAATAAATGTTCAATTTAAAGGCACAATACCTCAGAAATTTGTTCTGTACTCTCTGCATGGCTATATTATGAACCTGATAAAGAGAAGACCAGACAATAGATGCACAAGTCAGTTTAGAAATGACCAATGACATATAGACCTTCCTTATAGAATTCACTGAGAATTCAGAGCAATTACGAATAATCATTCCTAAAATCTCTTATGATTTCACTGAAATGGTGTTTATGTGATTTACAAATCTCATTTGTTCATCAAACGTGACCCCTAGTTCTAGAACAGTTGGAACGTATCTGAGAGGACTATTGTTTATACTATATATACAGTATCAAACTTCTTATAACCCTTGAAAAAGCTAATGAAACAACATTTATTGATATTTCTGACAGACAAGCGCCAGAATATTTCTGATTGCGCCAGAATATTTCTGATTCAGATCAGAATATGGAATGCATTTTCTGGATTGAATACTTACTGGAGATAACTGAGAACACAACTGAATAATCAGATTATGAATATTGAATATTCACATCTTGACAAGATGAAACAAGGCTTTCACAATGATGGTGACAGCCGATATTAGGAAATTAGGTTGGCAATGTAGTTTGTCTTCTGGGAACTTAGGGGCATTACACTGTTGCCTGTGCCACAAATTAATTTGGGATTAAATTAAATCTCAATCATTATTAGGAATACTAGGATATTTTTATTGGTACTGAAGCATCTTGCAAGTATATAAGTATTCAATAAGTGATCATTAGGCACTAGGTCGAACTGTTGTCTTCTGTGAATGTGAATACTATTGTGATTGGTCATATTGAATCTTATAAGGTAATTACTAGTTACAAATCTGGCAGCATTGAAATATGTGGACCTATTTTTTATGCGAATGTCGAATTCGGTTCATGACGTCATTGAACCTGGCATATTTCGAAGTCTCCGAATTTAATTATTGGAAATAAAAATTGCGATGATTTTTAAATAACATGTTGTTATGGATGTATTGTTTTGAAACCTCAAATGATGAAACGATGACGAGACTGAGTGTAACATTGCCTAGAGCGACGAACCACAACAAATAAGTTTTTTATCGGTTGTGCAAAGTCGCTCTTTATGATGTTACATCGAAGATGACTCTGGCATTCTGATCTCACTCGAACCCACCTATATCAATAAATACGAGTACAAATCGGATGTTGACGAAAGTAAACTTCTTCCAGATACCCGCCAGCGCTGTGGAGATGCCCGGCGAGCTGAACTCCAGCATCGGTTATCTGGACGTGCAATTCGGAGCGATGGATCTGATCGACGCCAATTCCTCTTTCGATACCAGCATCGACAGCAAATACGGGGTGGCACAGACGAACAGCTTGGACGCTGCGTCGACGACGCCCACCAACAATTTGGATCTCAATACTTCTAATCAAAACTCTAACCTGGACGCCTACTCTCCAAAGACTAACACACAAAGCAGTATTAGCTCTGCGTTGTCACAGAGCGTGAGTATTGTATTTTTCGTACTATTTAGTTTGTTTATGTTTATGCCAATTACCTTTCTCCACATGATATACAGGGTGGCATTGAAATAAGTGCCATTATTCCAAACACAAAGAAAGCTCGACGTGTACTTTCGAATGACACTAATGCAGCAAATATGACGTCACCTCTGTTCTAATTTCCATGCGGTAGACACAATCACGCGGAGTTCAATCATTTAAATTGTTTTAAAGTGGCGTACTTGATTTTTTTCTCGTATTGTGTTCAATTTTTGGGATGAAATTTCTCGTTAATTAGAAGAGTTAGAAAAAATCTGATATCAAGGCAATATTCCTTGTAACACCTTGTATACTCAGATATCACCCAACCAGGGTTGCCAAATGGTCTTTACCCATTCATTTTCTTCTTAGAGCAATACTTTTCATAAGAAATCCCTGTAAAAAAAAATGTTTCAACCTACCTTGCCTCATTAAATCATTTTGCGGAAATATCGATGATTCCATGAATACTGGCGAGCAGTGTATTTCTGAATACGGGTTTTGTTTTATCCCTATGATGTACTACACAACATGTTTTGGTTCCGTATCATAGTAGACATTTCCTAAATTAATATGATATTGTCGTAAAAACAAATGCGTCCCAATTGTTTGATTCAAATGTTGACAGTTCAGTACAGTTTTTACTTCACTCTTGTAGATTCTCAAAATACCATTTTCCATTAAAGAACAGGGAGGATCTGTTGTTTTTTTTTTATATAAACAAGTAAATGGCAAAATGGCTTTCCGCTAATTTTTCTGAAAATTTGATATGTTTCAGATATTAGCGTCCCTATTACACAGTCCAATTTACAGATCGATCCTATGACTAGTTTTCAAGCTACAGGGTGTCAATCATTTGATTTTGGCTGTTTAGAATATTTTGCATCGATTTGAATTATGTGCTCTAAGTCGTGATAAATCTACAGTAGAAATAAACGCTCCACGTCTAATTTCTACCTCATGAATCCCTCTATTTGAATAGATAATAATATCACATACAGGATATTGCATTCCATCAGGACAAGGTTATATTCATGGAAATAGACAAATAATGAAAATATCAGAATTTCAACTTGAAAACAAACGGCTAGAATCGGCCAATTATTTGACACAGTATGGATCTTGATCAACATGAGGATTCATATAATTTCCTCTGATACAATGTCCGGTTTGCCATACAGCGTGTCTCACTTCAAACGGTCCCCCCTCTATATCTCAGTTATTAGTCATGCAATTCCAAACAAATTTGGTGTGGTATGAATAACCATCAATATGATTGGTTTCACAGGAATGCACATTATTTTGGACAGTGCCGTGCGTTTTTATTGAATTAAAAAGGGGTCAATTTTTCATAAAATCATATTAGGCATTTTTTTACAGGAAATCTAACCTCATATTATTGTTCCTCATGCTTTCAAACCTCCATATGCAAAAAATCATCTAAGTCCGAATTAACAGGAATGGCTTCATTTTTTTTCATTTTCAGTCTCGAATTAATAGTGACTTCAAATCAACTACGAATTTTGGAACGTTCAATGGCTCCGGTAGGTGGAAAATCATGATTTGGAAGGAAAAACAAGTTATACTTTTTTATGTTGAACTCACCGTTTCCGACTAAATAATTATTTCGCTCGCCAAAATGCTGTTTAGATGTGCTTGATTTTCTGAAACCCTGCATAGGCATCTTATGAAAATCCACATATGTGGGTTTGAAACCATGAAGAACAATATTATGAGGTAAGATTTCCTGTGAAAAAATGCCTAATATGATTTAATAAAAAACTGACCCTTATTCATTGCAATAAAAATACACGACACTGTCTAAAATGATGTTTGTCTTTGGAGAACTGGACATATTGATGAATATTCATACCGATATAATTTTGGTAAAGATCGCACGACTGATAGCTGAGATATAGAGGTGTGGCCGTTTGAAATGAGACACGCTGTATATAGGGTGATGACAATTTGAAAGATTAGAATTGATGTAACTCATGTACAAAAATATACATATCACGAATGGTTCATAACTGTTTATATAAATAAAGCTGAAAATAAAATGTCTCATGAAATACCCCCACCAACCCCCTGAGTCACAACCACCCCAACGCGTATTATTTCAATAGTAGCCGCCTACTAAAATAATTATGACCCATTGAAAAACTGATACAAAAACACTTTGAAATATTGAGGTCCAAATAATCAACCCCAGACCAAAAATTGAAGTTATTCAAATCAGATTGCAGTAGATCAATATCCATATGAAGGTGAATTTTTTCAAATATTTTGAAGTCATCTGCATATAACGTAAAAACAGAGTGACAAATATATTTGCTAATATCGTTGACAAACAAATTGAAAAGTAACGGTGCACAATGAGAGCCTTGAGGAACTCCTGACAATACTGGAATCACGTCAGATAAAAAAACTTCAAAGCAACCATATTTTGGTATACAATTTTTCCTTATCAAGGCACAACACAATTATTTTTCACCAATATCAGTGAACTAATACATTCCATTTCCAGCTCTCGAACTCCGACAGCATTCCACAGCCGAGCACAGACGTCCTCACCGCAAAGTACAACAGCAGCAGCAGCGCACCTGCCTCGTCGGCATCGGCGACGTCGAGGAGCGCGACGCAGCAGGCGAGCGGCGGCGCGTCCACGACGGCGCCCTCGGCTAACGCCTCCGCAGGGCTGGACCTGAAGCAGGACGGGTACGCGCAGCAGGGCGCGTACAACGCGTACCAGGCGAAGAGCGGCGGGGGCGCGTACAACGCGTCGACGTACAGCGGCGCGACGGTGAGTTATGAGCAATCAGGCCATTTTACGCTGAGCGCTGGTTTTGTCATATTGGATATCATTATTTTTTGTTTTTCTTTATTGGCAACATTTTCGATTCTGTCATTTCACAAAATGTTTGAATTCTGTCGTGTTCAGTGCTGTCTTGACAAGAAAATGTGGACAAAGAAAAAGGAAAGCCGGGATGAAAATGTGTGATCAAAAGGGATGAGAAGGTACTCCTGAAATAAGCAAGAACATATCATTTCATTTCATGAGTTTTCAATGAACATTAGGGGAAGGAGGGAATGGATTAGAAATATTGGGTAATCATGCAAGGGTTTGATTGAAATCATGCTGTGCAAATACAAAGAAGTTTGCAGTATTCATTGTGGTCTAAGAGAGCCTAGATGGTTGAAAACTGAATTCATGAGTGGAAATGGAAGATTATCTGACCAATTAGGAAACAGCATATGAACTGACGTTACCATGTATCCGACGTATCCCGGAACATATACGGACAGGTTTGATTCAACAATTGAACAACATATTGACACATTATTTACATCAAGAACACGTAAGAAGTGTTGCAAAAATTGATTTATGTCGCTAACGACAGCGTCTAGTAATAAAATGTCAATTATTCACTATCAGTCCAGTAGCCCATCACTTTGTTTTCCTGTGTTTTTATCAATATTATTTCGTGTTTTGGTTTTAGATTTGTTATAATTGCACTGGTGACAGATGCGCTGCGACCTATTTGGAACTAATGTGCCCCATCTTCTGATATCTCAAGGTTTTCTTGTTTATAGCAGCCCCTTAAGCCCCAATTCTTTTAGGAATTTGAGGATTTTGATAGTATCTTTTCGTAAATTCTGCCTATTTTGCATGAGCGGAGCTCAAGGAGACTGAAATGTATACGTCCTCATCCGAGTACTCAACGAAACTACGAAACTACAAAGAATAAATTATTCCACGTACAAAAGGAAATTGAAAGACAATTGTGGCATACTGTCATCTGCTATATTTCGATATTGAGAGGTAACATGTTGATAGTTCTTCCATACAATCAGCAGTTATCACATACATACAAGATCTGTAAAATATACAAACCTTATGAACATCGTAGATGCTACCGTTGAACATCATCCTATTTACGTTAAATGGGCTATCGGGAATGCATGTTTACCAAATGTTAACAGTTGTCATAGGTTGTCAAAAATACAAAGCATTGGCTGAGCCAGTGTCAAACAGCTAGGATGACGTTAACCTCTCTTTTTAATATTTTGAACATATTTCATCAGTAAATGCACATCTCTGAATATCACATAACAGTGACAGCTCACGTATAATTTGTGACATTTTCAGAATTCATATTAATTGATTTTTCTTTCATTGCATAGGTTTTTTTGATACTATTGGTAGTTTTACATTATTTACATAGGTTAAAAAAGTATTACGTCTCATTGAAGGAAATCCTTGAATAATGGTTATTTCTCAGGTTATTGGTGTAAAAAAAATAGAGAGCATATTTCTGGATTACTTCACATGAAGAAACGATGAGAGGCTGAGTTTGAAATTTCCGAGGGCAACAATCCATAGCGTATTGAGTATTTTATTAGCTCTTATAATTTCACAACAAAAATGTCTTAGGCATTCTGTTTCGAGCAACCCGAAAAGAACAACTTCCTGCTCATCGAAACTTAACTCATTGGACCTTTACCCTTATTTAGAACGACCGCCAGCTCGTACGCCTCCAACCAGGCGAACAGCTACACCGGCAACCAGTCAGGGTCGTACAATACGCCGAGCAACTCGTAACCGATAAAAAATCATTCAGGGATACTTTATGATTACTTTATATGATGAAACGATGACGAGACTGAGTGTGAAATTTCCGAGGGCAACAAACCATGGCGAATAAGTCTTTTATTAGCTCTGATACGTCGCCCTCATAATTTTACAACGAAGATGTCTTTGGCATTCTGATTCAAGCAACCCGAAAAGAACAACTTCCTGCTCATCGAAACTCAACTCATCGGACATTTCCCTTTATTTCAGACGACCGCCAGCTCGTACGCCTCCAACCTGGCGGACAGCTACCCGGCAACCAGTAACTCGTAACCGAAAAAAAATCATTCAGGGACACTGTCTAGATTATTTTATATGATGAAACGATGACGAGACTGAGTGTAAAATTTCCGAGGGCAACAAACCATGTCAAATAAGTCTTTTATTAGCTCTGATACGTCGTCCTCATAATTTCACAACGAAGACGTCTGGTATTCTGATTCGAGCAACCCGAAACGAACCGAAAATCTTCCCGTCCATCGGAACTCAACTCATACGACTTCTCCCCTCATTTCAGACGACCGTCAGCTCGTACGCCTCCAAACAAGCGAACAGCATAACCGGCAACCAGACAGGGTCGTAACCGAAAAAAAATCATTCAGGGATACTTTATAGATTATTTTGTATGATGAAACGATGACGAGACTGAGTGTGAAATTTCCGAGGGCAACAAACTATGGCTAATAAGTCTTTTATTAGCTCTGATACGTCGCCCTCATAATTTTACAACGCAGATGTCTTTGGCATTCTGATTCAAGCAACCCGAAAAGAACAACTTCCTGCTCATCGAAACTCAACTCATCGGACATTTCCCTTTATTTCAGACGACCGCCAGCTCGTACGCCTCCAACCTGGCGGACAGCTACCCGGCAGCGATTTTACTAAATATAAACTATTGCAGCACAAGACACGCCCCCTACTACGGCATTGCAAAATATAATCGAGCCCAGCACAATCCTGCAAAATCTAATCTTTGACAGCACAACGTAGCTGATTCATATAAATAAATCGATTGAAAAAGTAGCACATACCACGTTATATCTTATCTTCAAAGTACTTTACTTAGGCAAAACTCAGAGACTATTTATCCTCAACGAACTAACCTATCCCTGATTGCAATATTTTTGAGGAAGGTAAACCGAATGGAGTTTAGAAACACATTGATTAATAATATATTTCAAAAGTTGAGTTCTTCAACAAAATTGAATAAAATGAGACTGTTTATCCTAAACGCACTAACCTTTTTGACTTCAAATATTTTATGAAAAAGGAAAACCAGAATGAAGTAAAAAAACATTGGTGAAAAAAAAAAGTTGCAAAAAAAAGTTCGAGTTCACAGCGATTCGAACCATGAACCTTCAGACTGAGAGTCGATAGCGCTAACCAGTAGACCATTTGGGTGTATGAATTTACTGCGTACAAGAGATTGACAACGAGAAAGCTTCAGTTCTTGCGTTGGAGCACAGTATGAGATATGACGTATTATGGTGGGCGTGGTTTGTGCTAGCGTGCAGTATATTTAGGAAAATCGCTACCCGGCTACCAGTAACTCGTAACCGAAAAAAAATCATTCGGGGACACTGTCTAGATTATTTTATATGATGAAACGATGACGAGACTGAGTGTGAAATTTCCGAGGGCAACAAACCATGGCGAATAAGTCTTTTATTAGCTCTGATACGTCGCCCTCATAATTTTACAACAAAGATGTCTTTGGCATTCTGATTCGAACAACCCGAAACGAAAAAGTTCCCGCACATCGGATCTCAACTCATCCGACTTTTCCCCTCATTTCAGACGACCGCCAGCTCGTACGCCTCCAACCAGCCGAACAGCTACACCGGCAACCAGGCAGGGTCGTACAGTACGCCGAGCAACTCGTACCCGAACGCGTACTCGTCGAACAGCAGCTACCAGGCCACCAACAATTCGGCGGGATACCCGTCGATCACGCAGGCCGGCGGCGCGTATCCTAGTGGCGGGCAGTCGTACCAGCAGAGCAGCCAGTCCGTGTACGGGGCCAATGCAGGTAATTTTTATCTCAGACTGTAACAATCTTTTGAATAACAATACACAGTCTACCAATGGAAATTCGATTCCCCCTATAACTAGAAAACCGAATTCTCTATCAGGAATCGCCGGGACCCGTCGGATTTTTATTCTTGGTGGGAGCATTTTTTGACACTTGAAACGAACTTGATGTGTTGATCCCACCAATCCCTAGCAACCTCGACTTTGAAATTTAACACGTTGACTGCCGGTCTCAAATTCACACTAGTAGTATCAGAACCGAAGCAAAATTCAAAAATTTGTCCCTGAAACCACTAGTGACAATATGTAGCTAAAGTCTACAGAAGATAGTACATCGTTGAAATTTTTGATAATTGGAACCTTGGTCCCAAAAAACTCGAAATTTTCAGCTCGGTCTCAGACCGACTCGGCACCCGTGTATACATATATGTATACCTTTGTAGGCCGCGTCGGTCCGGCATCTCGGTCTGGCCGACTTCGGCCTCGGTCTAGTGGTCTAGCACTGTACTAAATACTTGTCCCAACTTGCTGTTTGAAGGTGTCACTTGTATCCCGATTGTTCTACACTGGTTGGGTGAGCCTCTCATTGTTCATTTGATGTTAGGTGGATGTGCAAGTGATATTTGTTTAGTTTAGAAAATGAGCAGATTTCGAGATCGTGAGAATTCTCTGAGACAGAGACCATATGAAAAATGTAGACCTTGCAGTAATTGTTCCTAGAGAATAAAGAACCAATCAGGATAGAGATCAGCCCCATATTTGGAAAGAATACGCACTTTTTGTAAGTTGTTACAACAAATTAGAAAATATAGATTATGTATTCTTGAAACACTTATATTCGATTGTATTTCCTTTTAAATAATATGTTACATTTCATCCAGTGAATAAACGTTTATTTCACAGTATCGGCTTACCAAACATTCTGTGTTCATATTGATTTGCCTGCCACGGAACGGTCTGTGTGTTTGATGAAGATAATTTGTATTGCAAAAGTGTCACTAAAGCCGTCTCGGTCACTCCACGATATTATTGACAATAATTCAGACCGACGGCTTCACGAGTCGTTCAAATGACTCGGTCTCATTGCCCGAGTCGGCCTGGTGTATCAACCTTAATCCCGGTCTATGAGACCGAGGCGGCACGTCAGGATATTTTTTACTCGGTCCTATAGACCGACATGGCAATCAACGTTTTAAAATAGACCCTACTTTCAACACATCATTTTAAAGCAATTCCTATTGTGAATTCTTTGGTGCATTGGTTTTGAAAATCGGTTGAGATTTGACAGAATTATTGAACAAAATCAATACTTGACAATAATTGTCAAATAACTGACATTCGCGTTATAATTTATAATCAAAGTTGCGCACTAATCAAAAGCTAAACAAAATTTAGAACAAATTGTATATATTGGTGAGGGTACCGCTGAGTCTTTTGTCACTCCATGTATTCTTCGAGCATGGTATTGAGATGTGTTTTCTAACGTATGATTGTTAGTGAATCGAGAATGTGTGTGAAAAACGACATTGAGATTCTAGGTTTATCACCATCTGTAAGTGGAACATTAAACCACTAAATTACAGGTGTTGCCAAAGTCTACAAAATCATAGACGTAGGGGTATATTCACGACTTACTCGCGAGGTATGATTTATTTATACACCTTTGCACTTAGGCCACTATTAAGGCTAGATTAATAAAGTGGTTTTCCACTTTCATCCAAGAATGTTGGAAACCATTGTTGCTCGTGTTTGAAATATCTCAAGAATATGAGACATCAAGAAATAATCATTCTAAATGTAGAGGAACCATCATCCTCAAGAGAAACAGAAGATACAGAGGTTGGTCAAGTTGATAGGATGATATCCATGTCTATGGAAACCTGATAAAAAAAAATCCCAGTTACCTGATTGAAATGCAGAAATTGGATAAATAGGAGCCATCAAACTAATGTTTTCGATAATATGTAGTATGAACAGTGCTTAGTTCAATATTCTATAATTCTTCTCATTTAGATATGGCTTCAATAAATAAGTTTTAGTATTTTCAGGTTTCTTTTTGTGATTTACATAATTTATAATTCATTTATTTAGGATTGGGGTATCAGAGTATCCCACGCGAGTACTCATGCAAAAAATGAGTTGATGGAAAATCAAATAATTTTTCAAAATGACGGTGCACCCCTCATTATGCTGTTGCTGTGCGGCACTTTTCAGATGAGCATTTCCCAGGTCATTGGATTGGTAGAAGAGGTCCCATTGAATGGCCACAAAGATCACCTGATCTAACCCTTTTGGACTTTTTTATGAGGTCATTCGAAATCGCGATTGTATGCCACGCAACGTGAAACACTATGTGAGATAATTATGGAAGAAAGTCGATTAGTAACACCAGATGTCTTCAGTTATGTTTGAAAAGAATATGAAAACATTTTGTATCATTGTTTGCAAGTTAATGAAGGTCATTCTGAACTATACATTGAATAAAACTTTAATTTTGCGTGAGTCCAATGGGCCTTTGCAGTATCGTAAAATTTGACCCTTTTCCATTATAATGTTATGAAGGGAAGTTGAAAGTTATCCTGACAACTTTTTTATCGGGAAAATCGAACGACAAGTGAATAAATCCTTGAATTGATCCTATGTGCAAGATGCTGCAAATATTGCAATGATTCGAAATTACTATGAAGTAGGTGATTAGTTGATTAGTAATTCAGTCAATAAATCAATCAATCAAAAATATACTTTTTTGTCGAAGATATCAACCTTATTGACAAAGCATGTTTCAGTAAATAATATAATATAATATGACAAATGTAAATAAATATAAATAAAATGAGAGAATTGTAAAAAAAATAAAAAAATAAAAAAAAATAGTACCAAAATGAAATTTTGGAGTGTCGTCAATTCATCACATTATTCACATCTATCCTTAAAATCATAAACAGATTACATTCAATTTACTCTGAACTCCAAAGTATTTCATTAGTTTCGAGAAAAGCTAGGATAAAATGCAAAGCAGGCATCTAACAGTAAGTTGTTATAGACTTGGTTTGGTTTTAGTTATGTTGAAATTTCGTTGACTAATTGTTGTAATCAACAAATTGAACAGTATTACTATATCTCATGTACTCATTCCTGGAAAATTTAATTGCAAATCTGGCAACTATGTTTATGAAACGAATGAAGCAACTGGCGCTGGCACAATTTTGCCAAACTACTAATAATACTCGGAAGTCATCTCCATCTATTATTAGTAGTTATTACTTCACTCTACTTTGAGAAACCATGGACTTCTATAAAAGTTGCCAAGTTAAAAATACTAACCATTGTTCTTATTTTTCAATATTATTGACAATAAGGCAGTGATGCTTGTACTAAAATCAATAAAAATAGAACGAAGTAAGCAATTTAGTATTGATTCATTCAGAATTTGTTTCATTCCCTATGGTAACGTGAATGGTGGGGATAACTCTGCGGTATCATTGCGAGAGAGTTGATATTTTTTATAGAAATATTTTATATATATAATAAATAGGGACTTCTATGAATGTGTGTATGTGCATTATTGAATTAACTCTCTCACGTGTTGTAACATGATAATACGCCATTTTGTCACATCTTTGAGATTATTTGATAATTTCAACATTTTGAACACGCTGTTCATCAACATTCATACGAAACCGCCACTGCACCAAATTCCAACGTACCTGTGAAATATCAGGTTAGGAAATATGTAACTAACCTTTCTTTACAGATTTGACATTGCTGAACAATATTTATTCACAAAATAGTTTGCTTCTGATTTATAATATCAAATGAGTTCATGAAATACCGAAACTTGATCACACAATAGGCGGAAAACCATTATTAACAACAAAAACAACAAATAACATTTCTCACTACGATGCTTGCTTTATCTATTCTAATTTTGGCTGTGTGAAGGTTCTCTTTAAACCATTGTTATAGATCTTTTAATTGTTGAATGTTTGCTAACTCTCTAGTGTTGCACAATGTATAATAATATGTATTATGTGTATGACGAGTTCTACCACTACCATTACCATATTACCATTTGACTGATTATTTGTAAATTTGTAAAGTCAGTATTATTGTTCCTACCAAGCAGAGAAGCCTCTGTGGGATCTTTGTATTATTTTGACTTGATAAATAAAAAAACTCTTCTCATACGAACATATAGTACCGCCAAGATTGAAGAATTAGACAAATATCCCCAAATGTCATAGGCTGAAGGACCTCTAGAAAGTTCGATGGTTAGATTTCTTGCTTCTGAAAACCTTGTGGTACATTGCTTCAGAAGCTTTTCTTGAAACCATTAAATACCTATTTACATACTTCGAGAATGATTAAGCAGCAGCAGTTGAAAGAAAAATATGTAGACCATATAGGGAGATTACTTTACATGATGAAACGATGACGAGACTGAGTGTGATATTTCCGAGGGCAACAAATCATAACGAATAAGTTTTTTATTAGTTCTGATACGTCGCCCTCATAATTTCACAACGAAGATGTCTTTGGCATTCTGATTCGACCATCGATGGTCAGTTGTTGGTGTGATACACTACTTCATTTTTGGACTGACATACTCAATATTATTTTTTCAGGATTGAACAACAGCTCAAGCTACGGCAACGCATCGTCAACAAGTCAGTACAACAGCTACAATTCTAGCAACAAAATCAACAAAGATAATGCTTATGATAGCACTTCAAATACTTCTGCTGGAAGCCAAACGACAACGACGAACGCCACCTTGTCTGCCAGTTCAACGCTGTCGCAAACCACAGTCAGTGTCAGTAAAGCGTCTTCGACGACATTGGGTGAGAACAATTTTTCTAATTCATTCCCGACAGCTCAATTTTATAACAATCTAGCTAGGGGTTGATTTTCAAACTTATATGAAGTGTAGTTCAACATTTTCAGAGTAAACAAAATTTTTGAAGTCATTGGCTTTAGATACGTGATAAAGTACTTTTTCAATATAATTTCCGGTTTAACCTGAAATTATTTACTAGTAATTTCGAGAGTAATTTGTACAAAAGTGGAAATGATGTTTATATCGAATGCAAACAAAGTTGAATGGAGTACTCAATCGTTTGAGAACGGATATGGACAATCCACTGGAGTTATACAGTATTTTATCGACCATAAAGAAAAGAAACGAGCAATTCATCATCAATGGGATAATATATTTTATGATTTAGCACAACTAAATTTGTGCTTGAACTTTTTCATGAGATTTGGTACATATTTTTTCAATTATTCTTCGAGAAATCAATGAAGCAGACACTGATTTTTTTAAAAGAAAGGGCAGGTTGCATAAAAGCTCTTCAATTATTTGAGAAATTCAAAAAAGAACTGAAAAAATACTTATGTCTTTGATTCTCTTCATATCATCCTGAATCAATTCAAGAAATTATATTCAACAGTCTCTAGAAGAAACAACATTATATGTATTATGTATATGATTTAAAAATGATTATCTGATTATCTAATTTTTGTTTTTTAGTTGCTATTTCATAATTTTCCCTGCTATAAACATATATGTTTCTTGGGAATAATAAAGATAATAACTTCAAATATAATCATATCTAGGTATTATTATGGAAAACTCCACTTACTTTTTAACAATCTCCATTAACATCGTTTTTTCTGATTCATTATAATATTCCCCTGGTTTTTTATTCGAATTATTCATTATTTTCTTCTGTAACTTCTGTCAATCTGAATGAAAATCAAGCAAATAAACCTAACCTAAAATGCGTATCAACAATGCGCAAGGAGCAGACTGATTACCACTGTTGCCACGCCCTTCTCGTCATTAGTAAATGGAATGATTATTATAACATCAGATTGTTTATGCAACGCGAATGACATTTAACATAACATCAAAGTTTTTGTGGCATCAGTTGATTGTATGATATTTTTCTTTATGCAACCAGCCCTCGGTGTTAATGATCGAATCACTTTAAAATATTTCTGTTCTCGTCGATCTCGTCGATCGATGCATCAGCTGGAATGATAAACCAGTGGCGTAGGCGTTTTATACACGGACCAAAGCAGAATGCAATAATATAATATACACTCACCGGCAAATAAAACCGGCCACCAAAAAATTTGCCCAAATTGTTCACCATGTAACTTTTTTAATCCTTGTCTGATTTCTGTGAAATTGGTCTCAAACCGTAGATTCATGTTCTGAAATGTTGGCCTAAATATTAGTATCCGCGAAAAGCTGATGATTGGATCATTATACAGGGAAAAACCAAAGTAACTATTTCACTTTATTTCTTAACGCCCTGTAGCGAAATTGAGTTGTTGAACTTGGCTTCATTTTGCTTTTGATTGAAGTGTGATCCCTTCTCAATACAATAGTTTTTGTTTCACCTCTATATCTTATTTTTAAGAGAAGATACCAGTGTTTTAAGTGTTTCAATTCTTATCAACATTAATCAGAACCTACATAAACTTATCGATTAACTACTTGTAGAATCAATGTCACTCATTCCTACCTCATTTTCTTACCACTTACCGGAAAAATTCTTATTTACAAAAAACAAAGCAGGTCTGTAGTCCCTAACGAGTATGCCCTCTCTTGAAACACTCTTAAAAAGAAGATATTGACGTGAATCTACAACCATTGTGTTATAAGAAGGGACGAAAAAGGATCAGAATTCAATTCAAAACAAGATGAAGCAGAAGGTTGGAGAAATGGTTCTGAATTATTATTGATAAAAAAAAATCAATACTTTCTTAAAACACTTGTATCTTAAAAAGTGGTTATCGCCGTTAAGACGAACGATTCACCGCACTCGCTTGGCGTTTCGAAGAGATGTCGCTACGGTTAACAAACTGTGATAATGAATGACATGAATAAAAATCCAACATCGAGAAACCGATGTAGAATTCTCTTGTTTCTTCGTGTTGACGATGTTAGTATTATAAAGATTTTCAACAGGTGTCGCTTCAAATATTTATAGCGCCCTGATACCTAATTATCTCCACATTAATAAAATTATGCAAATGAGTTTTCAAACTAATATAATCCTAAATTACATTCGAATTAATTGAGTGTCGAATTTTCGGATGCTCCTTCCATTTTGGGTTCAAATCCGAAGCGCATTCTTTCCACGAACCTGTATTTACTTCTTTATGGGCTTTGTTTTTTTATCGCGGAAGACACCGATCGAGCGACGGTTAGTTAGGACTGTTAGGAGATATAAATATATTATGTTATGAAGCTTGAAGTAAGTGTGATGACTATTGTATAGGCACTGAGGCACTATTACGGCAAGTAAAGAATACTTTACAGGGTTGGTCTAGGCGTGGCTGATGGTAGCTTCTTGAAATATTTTTTTATCTTTCGGAACGCTCGAAAGGAAATGTTCAAGGAAGAGCGCACGTGCATGCGGTAGAAAGGGAGAGCTGGTAGGAAATGGAAATTGCTTTGAATCTTTGGATATGAAAAATAATCGTAGATATGATAGAACATAAACAGATAGGATCATCAAATACCTTTTTGGTACATAATAAAAAGTTCGATTATTCAATGTATTATTTAAAATTAAATAATAAAATTGAACAAAAAATATTTAATATTATTATTATTTGATATATCATTATCACGAAATTCTAATATTCAATAAATATTATTCTTGATATCAAGGTCGAGAGAGACATCGGAACTCCTACCTATAACCATATCTTCTTACCGTTTTTCACATGTCGATATGAGTGAAGAAATTACAATATTAATATATAATATAAAATATTCCAAATAGGTATTGATATTTTCCTGGATATCCATATTTTAGATATCTGTGTGAAAAGGCGGGTAGGTACTCTGAATATTTCCACTGGACATGCCTCGACAGGATATCCTTCGTATATTATTTGGATGCCCAATGTGTGGATATCTGGAAATTAAATTGCGGACCATAGGATTTTGCGTGCGACAGTGGAACAGCTCAAATATGAAAGATTATACGCGATGGATAATCAAGTATTCAACTAGACCACTCTACGGGACTGTGGCTCAGCGTCGTCTAGTTGAATACTTGCAATGATACTTGCTAAACTTGCTTATTCATCGCGTATAATTTTTCATATTTGATCTTTTCCACTGTGCATGAAAAAACCTATGGTCCGCAATTTTATTTTCAGATCGGTATATGGAATGCTAATGTATAATTGGGTAGTATTCGGAACTCCTAATAATCGTATTTTGCAAGTAGATAAAATGGAGCTCAAAATGTGATACACAATTGTCCAATTCAGACCAAGGTAGATACAGTGTGTCCCACTTCAAACAGCACCACCTTCGTATTTTCGTATACACTGGCCGACTTCAAGAATTTTTTTTTCAACATGTACTACTCAATGATATCTACATTCCTGAATATTGAACTCTCTCATTTCTTTTGAACACCAGGCACCTATGAACAAATAAAAATGCAGAAAATCAGTAAATAATAGCTGGAAATTTTTTAGCGGAAATCTGACTACAACTCTCTAAAATACATATGTGGTCAAATTTTCACAATGATATCATATACAGGGCATTATTTATTATTAATAAACGTTCGATGTTCTACTATGATCAGAAAAAATATAATAATTTCATGATTCCTTTCAAATACCAATTGAACACATATTTATACTATTTCTGATCATATACAGTGTGTTGTTTATACTAGGAATCAATTATTTCTCAAATTCGCAAATTAGGTCGTTGAAGAGATGTACATAGAACAATGGAAATATTTTGATTCGCAGAAAATTTGCGTTAGGAAATTGTCTACCTATAGAAAGGGTTAGGCAGGTTACATTTTTAGTTCAAGCAATATTTCTAGTTTTCTCTCGAAAATGAAATGATATAGTCTTTGCAAAGTCATTTGAGACAACTTGATCAGAAGAGATCCGCCATCACGACCGTCTGGTTCCTTTAAAAAGTTAAGACCGAACGCGTGCCGCGGCGATGTTTTTTGCTGTATATGTCTAGAGTGAATTTGCAAAGACTATTATAATACTTATATATTTTCACACCCATTTCCCGTTTTTGTTTTCTATTAAAATGGATTCACCATTATGTTTTTCTACAAATTATTGATTAGAGAAATATTTATTGACTTTGAACAGATTTTCTTCGAATTTTCTTCAATTGATGTCTTGTCTCAGTTATTCCGTCAGAAAATATCATCTTATGGAGGCATATAATTCTGAGATCATGATCTGCTACTCCAAATCAGTAGCACATCATCAGTATTTTTTTTCTGCACAAGCACTGTTCATCATAATATAATGTCAAATTGAATATTTTTTCATTCGATATAGGGTTTACGAAATATTTGCTCGGATATGAAGAGTGTCACCTCAGTGATATTTATCAACAAATCAATAAAAATATTAATTACAGTATCTGATGATTCACCTATTTATTTGATTAATAGATATCTTTTTATTGAAATTGTCACTAGTAAAACGCCGTCGGCCTACAAAAAAATACTCAAAGTATTGGTCCATGTTTTCAAAAACAGTTTAAGAACCCTACAATATATAAATCTCAGTAATTAATCGCCAGTTAATCAATTAATGATCATTGCAGAGCCTCATGTTGAAAAATTGGAGTGATAAGATATATAAAATGAGGTCTTGTGTATATTTTCCCAGAGAACCGTAGTAGAGATTCAGGATATTGAAGACTTGAAAAAAATCGAATTCGATATCATTCACCTCTCGAAAAAAAAATTCCTTCGATTGTATTGATATTTGATAAGTTCTATTGAAATAACATCCCCTGTATCTCCGTTATTTGAAAACTCACGGCATTCATATGGGCACCATATTGGATTTTTATTGCATTAAATAGAAATTTCAATCCTTTCAAAAATATATCACTATAACATATCATATTCTTCTGAACGAATACATCAGAAATAAACGAATCTGAAAATTTCCATAAGAAAAAACAATGCTATTGTCATTATCTCGAAATCGTAGGAAGATATTTCATTGTTCTATTTTTTATTCAAAAGTTCTTGAAAAAGTGCTCACGAAATGTCTGAGCCAGAATGCCGTAAGTTTTCAAATAACAGAGATACAGGGGATTGTCAAAAACGCACCACTTTGGTTTTTCGCAATTATATCAAAAACAGAAAATGATCGAAAAAATCTGATGGCAATTCTGAAATAGTAATAAAATTCTGAGAAACATTGCTCATTTGAACGACTGTAGCTCTTATAATAACCGAGATAGCAATACATACAGCACCAATCTGGGACACAGTGTATAGCAAAACAAAGTTTGCCGGGTCAATCAACGGCTGAGTTTCTGGAATATAAATAGCGTTTCATTTCACCCTAAAATGCCCTATGCTTATTTATAACCGTACCACCCGTACCACAGATTAACAAAAGGTTTGGTATAATCTGTGCCCGTACTGAAACTGACCACCGCGCCCAAGTGGTTCTAAAAATAGATAAGACCTGTTACATGCTTGCGGATTCGCCGTGGAAGGGGTTCTGATGTCTCCGCCTACCGCCGTCACCCTCTCGCACCTCATTCCTCAGGTGATCGCACTAATTACTTTTTTACTATAATTATAGTGAGTTACCCAGTAACAGGTAGAGGACTGTGATTATTTTTCCGTAATGTGAAATTCTCAACATGTTTCATTGTATTCTTCTTTATTCTGAGCGCCATCTAATAATGATAATTAGGATCAAAATTTTGCACCGCCATCTATAAGAGAGAAGCTGAACTAATGTACCCCTGAATAGGCCTGAATTCAGACACGATTTATGTAGGTTGCCACAAATTATCGACGCCATACTGTTAATTTTGGGTTTTTTCCCGTTTTCTTTGGAACGGTGTGATTTTGGAAGCCAGAATTTGAGCAGGGTATGGCATTTTAGTGTATCTAGGAGTTGAATCAATTTTCATTAAAATCTGTGACACAAAATTTCCCAATGTTTACATTTTTCAGTCATCGCCTGCTTTCTTCAACAAACGAGTTTGATTTCGAAAATTTTTTTAACTCCTAGCTTGAGCTTTCGTCCTTACGATCATCCAAACCGTTTTTCATTTGGACTTTTCGTTTGGCAGATAACGGGGCTGGAAAATAGGTCTGCATAGCGATTGTCGTGAATCGTCGGTCTTAATCAAGAACCATTGTGTTAATAAGGGATCACACTTCTATCCAAAACATAATGAAGCTAAGTTCATTTTCCACACTGTGATAGGAAGTTGAGGGTAAAAAAGTAACTTTTGTTTTTCCCTGTATAATGATCAAGCCGTCAGCTTCTCTCAGGACCTAATATTTAAGCTAACATTCCGAATTATGAATATACGATTTGGTCGAAATTTCAACAGAATCAGACAAGAATTCAAAGTTACAGGGCGAACAATTTGTCAAAATTTTTTGGTGGCCGGTTTTTTCTGCCGGTGAGTGTACTTACTTCCCTTTGAAATTCATTTTTTATGCTCAAAAATAGCAATTCAGAGGTTATCCTGATAACATTATATAATACTTAATCTTCTATAAACAACAATGTTTGGTGAGGGTTATAAGCACCTATCAATAATAGCGTCAAATAAAATATTAGCGTTTTGTTTTTACAATATTTCAGCAGCGAAAAATTCCAACAGTGTTGTGTCGAACATCCCGCCTGGAGTTACACCTGTTATGAGCACGCCATACATCATGGGCCAAGTGCCATATTTCCAACAGCCTGTGTATTCTTATGAAGATATGCAGTTGCTGCAACAAAGACTGCCACCTCATATGGTGAGTACCGTTGATAACTGGATGCATGTGAAAATAATGGAAAGTCAAATTGTATTCTTATATTTAATGTATTGGATTCCCTAAGGAACGTTTCATAAAATTAACAATTAGGCCCTCCGCACACGGGTCGATCGGCGACATAGGCGACGCGATTGCAATGACGTCACAATTTCTGCATTCGTACGATTCAAGAGACGGGAGTGTGTGTCATCCGCATATGGGTCGACGTTTTGTGCAGTCGACTCGCGTCTGATCAACTTAGTTACTCTATTTTTTGCAACTTCCAAAGAAATGTTTCGCTAAAAATGAGCAGTTCCAATGGCGAGGAGGACATGTTTTTGTGGCACCGGCAGATCAGGAGAAGAAGAAGACAACGAAGTTTATGGGTGCATCCGTACATTGCACGAAATTTTCACACTCGACTTTTTGTTACTGCAAGTGAAATGCAAGAGAGTGACACAAAATTTTTGGCATTTTATAGAATGTCGAAGGAATCATATATTGATTTAGTGGAAACTCTTGCTCCAGCCATAAATTATATGGATTCAAATATGAGGGAATGTGTCAGCGCAGTAGAACACATACTAATAACATTGATGTAAGATATATTTCAAGAAATCAAACAGTTCCTAAAGTTGAGAGTATAAATTGGAAACATAAGATTATATGTTCTAGTTACTGAAAGTAAAGAACTAAGGTAGGTAACACAAATATTCACAATGATTGAAAAACTTTCTCCATTGAGACGCAAGATTCACTCGATCAAACTGCTTCCTTGCTAATCGCGTGAGACTGAAAACGAGGAGATCTTAAATCGTACGTTTCTAGACGACCACTAATCGACCCGTGTGCGGGATCCAGATGCTTTGCTTAGGAAGTCGAGTAGAGGGGAGACCGTCGTACGATTCGAATCGCGTCGCCCATGTCGCCGATCGACCCGTGTGCGGAGGGCCTTATTGTGTAACAATGATTATTTGATACATGTAATCGTCATACATAATTTCAAGTGTTGCATTATGAAGTTGTCAATAGTCCATTCCAACTGAGAAGGCAGTGCTATAAATCATAGGGAACCATTGACATTTGTTTCGTTTAGCTGATATTGAAGGCAATATCACACTTGTTTAATATTATGGCTTATGACGGGACGTGCGGTTGAAGTTTTCTTTGTGGGACTCATTTAAATTATATATTATTTGATGATACAAATAACCTTCTCATTTGGAATGCACTAAAGTTTCATAATTCAAAATGATCACTGAAACCACCTGTTGGTTATTTACTTCTAGAAAATATGCATCACAAAAATATTGATAGTGGAGTGAACATCCATTACCAACTGCATGCCCATTTTATTTGCATGTTTTTTGTTTCAACGTATTTCCCGATAACAAGCACATCATATGCTCATAATCACATCATCAAAATGACACCCATCCTAGAGCTTGTATATACCGGGTGATAACGTATTCTTCATAGAAGCCATAGTTTCCATAGCTTGGAGGATAAATATGCAATTCGAACTGGAAATTATAAAAATTACAATAATTCATACTCAATAACCACTTTTGATTTTGACGGAAATAATTCCAATATGAAATTTCGAAACACCTTGTATAGGATTTTTGGATTTTGGAAACCATTTCTGTATATGTAGAAACTTCACAATAAGATTTCCATGCAATTTATGTAAACATGTTTCGGTAACACATTAGTTTCCTCAAATGGAATACTTGTACATTGAATCCACCTTGAATTGTTGCCTAACAGAGCAAGCTAGCTAATCCTTCATTTCAAAAAGTAGGCCAATATAAGTTTGAATCTTATACTCGTGAAACTCTTGAATACTATGGCTTGTTGTCGCCCGGTATTTACTAGCGACCATTCATCAGTAAATTCATTCATTCTCATTGATCACATTCAATATAATATACTAACAATAAATGACACTCGGGTCGATTCTGTAATTAGTTTCATTTTAATTGGAGAGCTATGAAATTGTACTACCTCCATGTATTTATGTTGGAGTTTCAATATGGATATGGTTTAAGTTGTTTACTTAGCTATCTCGCGATGGACAACATGTGACAAATTTCCGTTTTCATATTTCTATTGAGAAATTAGTAATTCTTGCCAAAGAAGAACCTGGGCCCACACATATATTCCGCATCGAATAAACAAGGGGCATTAAATCGGTGGACTAGTTGTTACCTACTGCAGAAAATATTTGGTTTAGATAGTTTTTCCAGAATTCTACTATGATGAATAACTTACTCAATGTTCACTGTATCCATAGGTACCTACCAAAATTATGAAAGTATATCCGTTACATAATCCAGCACAAACATATTCTAGTTATTCGTGGAGTGCTTTCAAGTTTCTGCTTTTTATCGATGCTTTGCTAGTATCATCGCCTTCGGCATCTATTGCAGCCTTGAAATACTAAATACGTCAATTCAATTTCATCAAGGCGCAAATGGAATCGACCAGAATACCCTCTTCTTTGGTCGTCATTCTGATAAAAAACGAGTGTGTGTTTGCGTACCGTACCCCTATGGTAACATGAGTTACCAGCCGCTGTAAGGAAGGCCCATGCTCTCGGCAACGTCTGCTACTCGCTTCTGCTATTATTTTGTTGATATCAATTTTTCATACCTTGATTTTATGTATACCTTGTCGTCTTATCGTCAATAGAGATTCATTGCCAGTAGATAAGGAAGAAATAAACTCACACACATTGCCAGCAATGCCAGCCTACTCCGACGAGAACACCGTCATATAAACCCTTGCGTTTTATTTTGTTGTCCCGCCTAGTATCATCGCTTTTGGCATGTATCACAACCCTGAAACCCTAAAACCGTCAATCTCATCAAGTCGCTAATAGAATCGACCGGAATGCCTTCCTCTTTGGTCGTCATTTTGATAACAAATCCAGTGTAAGTTTGTATACCGAAGACGACCCCCTCTCGGCAATGTCTGCTACTCGGTTCTGCTAATAATTTGTTGATACCCATTTTTCATGCGTTGATTTCATGAATACCTTGTCTTATCGTCGATCAAAGTTCATTGCCAGTGGATAGCGAAGAAATAATCACACATGCACAATTTGCCAGCCTACTACGACGTGAACACCGTCATGATTAGAATAGGATTTGGATTGGAGCCTTCGGGCTATCTGCCTCCACACTGCGACCTTTTCAGATCTATTGTGTCTGCCCTCAAAATCGATTAGAGTTCTTCGGCTAGCCCCGCCTTCTCTATGAGACTCCATAGGCTAGCTTTCAGATCTCCTGTGTATCTCTGGGCTCCTGGTTTTTCCTCACCCAGCGTAAGGAACTTTAGTCTTGACAAGCCCTCACAGTGGCAAAGTATGTGTACTGCTGTTTCTTCCTCTTCTTGACAAAACCTACACAGCAGTTCTTCAGTCAGACCTATCGTACTCATGTGTTTGTTGAGCCTACAATGCCCTGTGAGAAGTCCCACTAGTATTCGAGTTGAACTTCGTTTCTGGCTTAGTAGATATTCTGTGAATGTTGGCGAGGGTTTTTCAATAAACTCTTTAGCTTGTCTCATTCCTGGCGAGTTGTTCCGCCATTCTTGAGATTTGGTTTGCATCCATGATTTGATACTAGTATTTTGTATAGCTTTCGCAATACCACAGAAGGGTTCTGGGCCATTAAGAGCTTTGTTTGCTCCTGTTCGGGCAAGTGAGTCTGTCTCTTCATTGCCCTAGTACCCTGTAGAGTCAATCTGTTCTGACTGCCCAGTGCATTTAGGGTTTCTAAGCAGTCCCATACTAGTTTTGAGTTAACTTGCATAGAGTTGACTGCTTTGATTGCCGATATAAACACTTGGTTTCTATTTTGTCGTTCCGCTAGTATCATCGGTTTTATGTATCACAGCCCTGAAACCGTCAATCCCATCAAAGCGCAAACAGAATCGACCTGAATGCCATCCTTTTTGGTCGTCATTTTGATCAACAAAAATCGAGTGTGTGTGTTTGTGTACCGTAGACGACCCCCTACTATGACATGAGTTACCAGACGCCGACGACGCTGGCCGCCGTGAGGGAGGCCGCCGCTCTCGGCAACGTCGGCTACTCGCTGTCCGACGGCCGGTTCGCCCGAGCCGACAACAACGCCTCGCCGGTCCCGTCGACCATGTCGCAGCAGACGAGCACGCTGACGCAGGGGCACCAGGCGCAGCCCATTTTGGCGGGGACGGCGCCGCCTCCTTATTTCTTCGCCACGCCTTTCAATACGCTGGCGCCGAACTACCAGTTCGGCACGATGTATACGGTGAGTGGGCGGGATTAGCGATCGATGTGGAGAATGGGGGGTGGGGTTGCAGTTGGGGGAATTATTTTTTTTTTATTTATTCATTTTTAACCCTTTAGTACTAACATGCCGTCTGAGAGACTGAGTCCCCACTATTCTCCCCCATATTATTGCGCAGCGCAATTTGATTCGGTTGGGCGGCTAGCTATCTTAATTTCATTCAGTTACGGAGCAATTGCCTCAGTGAAATGTATATAATAGCATTTTTGGTGGCAAACCTACCAGACTCCAGTGAGGAAGATTATGTTGAAAAGCGCTCAGTAGATTCCAAGTTGGATCAAGAGTTAGAACCAGAGTTAGTAGAAGATCTCGAAAAGAAGTCTGAATCGGAACCAAACTTAGAACACGCATTACTGCACATCGAGACCATATTTTAAACCAAAACGCGAAGTATAGCTTTTTTTCACTGGTAAAGACAACTTTGACTACGCCGAAGAAGATTTAGCCTAATTGTTTATTTCCTTTATAAATAGTGTAAAATGATAATGAAAAGAGTACTAACATGATGCATTCTTATAAATAAAATCACTTTCTAAGTACTACATGACAAATGAAATAGCATTTCTCGCATCCAGTATCATAGACCGATGTTAGTACTAATGTTATTAAAATCATGTTAGTACTGGAAGGTTAAAATAAGATACATATCAGCGTACTATATCAATAGTATATACTTTTTTTTATAATATAAACATGATCAAAAAAGTTGAAAACTTGTCCATGATCATGTAATATATTTTCCTCTCCACTGACTAACTAAAATGCATTATCTCATTGAGTATAATTAACATATAAAAAAAAAAAAAAATATTAAATACATTTTTATATTATCTGAAAATAACTATAGAAAACATGAAATGTTGCCCAAGTATTTTATCATATAATCAAATTTCCGAAATTTATGAACTCTCAATCAACCATGATTTAATTTTTTCCTTGAATCCATAAAAACTGTTTTTTTTTTAAAGAAGGAGGCAATTTATTGTAAATTTTTTTGCCTATATGTATGGCATGTTGCATTAAAGTTGAAGAGAATTTCTCAGTTGATATCCAACCATCAATTTTATTGTTGGTGTAACTAACAGGGTTTATCTTCATGAATTAACGACATTTATACAGGGTGTCCGGTAAACCACGTGTAATAGTTTAGATGGTGATGAATAGGTTCATAACCTATAAGAAAACTACAAACTTCAAGGTTTTCGAGATATTGAAAAAAAAAATTCGTATTTTCATGTTCCGAGCTATAAGAATCATATTTATATCAATTTATTCTTGATAAATAATACTGAATAGTTGATTGTAACAATCGGAAAAAAACTTTGAACAAAGTTTAATAATGAGAATTCAAGATGGATCCGAATTGCTGGATATATTTTTTTATACCGTAAATGGCCCCTATCGAAAGTCTGCTTCTCTGATTGTTACAACTACTATTACTATTCAGTTATATTAATCCAGAATATGAATTAATATTTAACGCTCCTCAGTTGCTTGGAACATGAAAATAGTAATTCCATTTGTTTTATAAAAGTTCTAATTTCTGGAAAACCGTGAAGTTTTTACTGAGGTCAAGTTGTGGTTTTTTGATATATAATCAATTTGTTAACCACCAGGTAGAGTATGATCCACGGTTTACCAAAATGGAGAATTAAAAGTAACACGTTTCTGATGAAAGTTGAAATAGCTGTGCTGATGATAAAAAATACGATGTTTTCAATATTGTATTTTGTTTCCTCATTGGTAATTTGATCCATAGACTACACATGCGTTAGTCTTCCGGGTGCGACCGAGCAATCAGTGACTACCCGTAACTCGGATTATCTTGATATCAGTGTAGGTGTTCCTCAAGGGTCAGATACATCCTTACTCATTTCGGAAAAATCTAATTATTCCTTTGAGGAAAAATGTAATGAAGTTCTTTCTTGACTATATGATTGGTTCTGCATGAGTTCACTTCATCTAAATGCAGAAAAAACACAGTCAATACATTTTCACCAAAAACAAAAACAAGTACCAAACATACATTTAAATATCAATCAATCAACTTTATTATTCCCAAGAAACAACATGAGTGAACATAGTGAATACATAAATATATTTGACAAAATAAAATAAAGAAGACAGTAAAATAAGACTCACACTCAAAAAGAATCTTTTTTTTTTCAAGTTCAAATGAAAATGATTGTCTTGACTGGAGGAGACACTGTGAGTCAGTAATTTGAAAACTCAACTCCGTCATTTATCTCTTCAGAAACATGAGATCAGTTTTAACGGAAACACAATTGATAATGTTATATTATGCACAGACCGAATCCCGACTAAGATACGGAATATGCTTTTGGAGATCATCCACTTGTTTCACTGATGTCTTCATCTCGCAGAAAAAACTAATTCGTATCGCAGATGTCTCTCGTACCACTAGTTGTCGAAGTTTTTTTTAAAATTAAATCATTTCAACTTTACCGTGTTTGTATATCTTTGGAGTATGTGTTTTTGTATTTTCTAACATAACCTCTTTTAGAACCAACAAACAAATTCATTCTATTAACACAAGAGAGCAAAATGATCTACATGTGCCATTTTCAAGAACTGATCTTTTTTATAGATCACCTACTGTGACTGGGCAGAGGGTGTTCAATAAACTCACGGTCGACATTAAATCATGTGTTACATTGAAAGTATTCAAGCAATGTCTTAGGAAATACCTAATAAAGAGTGGTTTTTACTCCTTAGATAAATTTTGAATTTTGAAGTCTTAGTTTTAGTTCTATTTTAGTTAGTTAGTTTCAGCTTTAGTAATTGTCTTTGACAAATTCTATACATCGTTCATCCGGAAGAATAGAGACAACTCAAAAAACATATTTTTTCAGAAGAAGCCAACCTAAAACAATATTGGAGTGGGAGAATATGTAGAAAATAGATACAACTGAAAATAATTGCTCTCTTTCCAATTGAATTAAATCCTGTGTGATGATAGTTTTGGAGGAATAGTGTTACATCTCAAGCTATAACTTCATTAGAGAGAAGGATGGTTCCCATATAGGACTCAACTTCGCAAATTTGGACCCCGCACTTTCCTTATGGAAAATGGCTTCCGGTTGAATTCCCTGAATTTTTGGTATGATGTAGATTTTGACTCCCTGAGCAAAAGTGTCCATTGGCACAAAAAAATCGGCTAACTAGTTTTCGAGATACAGGGTATCAAAGATGAAAAGTGAAGCTTGAAGCAATAACCCACTCAAGGTTGGAACTAATTTTACAGTATCTGAAAGCTATTGGCGAACCCCTATTTTCGAACCATCCTGTATATAAAAACGAATATCAGTGAACTTCGATCGGGATTGAGGAAGTTCGTCCAGGCTTCAATTGGATCTTTAATTCTCATGAAAGATCCTGGTTGGTTTAAAATCAATCGAATTGGATTTTTCTTCGTTCACCCTATTGTAGGGCCCAAAACGTTAATTTATAATGGATACGAGCTCCAGATGACCTTGTACCATCATTCAGGAATGTTATCCCATGAATAAATAGGCGTTTTGTCAATTCTCGGAGATGTTGAAAATTTTGAGCAGAAAGCTTCGTTTTTTATCTTTGACACCCTGTATCTCGAAAACTAGTCAGCCGATTTCTTTGTGCCCATAGACACTTTTGCCTAGGGAGTCAAAATCTACATCATACCAACAAAAATTCAGGGAATTTAACCAAAAGCCATTTTCCATAAGGAAAGTGCGGGGTCCTTTAATGTTGCAAACTCAGATGGCACGGTCATTCAGCGGCCGAGAGATGGCGACATGTATCTCTCGAATCAAGGTTGGTAGAACTGATGACTATTTTGTAGAGGAAGGTTGCCTCGATCGCACCCCGCGAGTAACCTTGAGTAACTCATGACGTAATAGGCCCTTTCTTTTGCACGAAAAGTGTAGCACTCTCGTACACTTCGTGTATGATATGTACGCCGGCGATTGGCCGGCGCATGTATTGAGTTGACAGTTGTCAGTTGTCAGTATTTTCGAATATTTGAACCATTTTGAACTTGAAAATGTTTGAATGATAATTTGTTCGGTCACTTCTTGTTAAAATTCGTACAAGTGTAATGAGACTAGTGAATTTAGTTTGTTTCCATTAATTTCCATAAGATGAGTCTATTCGTGAGAAATGGATTCAATTTTGTGGAAGTAATTTTAATTCATTTAATACCAAAACTTGGCGAATATGTTCTGCCCATTTCGATGCCGAGGATTTTGAACGGCACAAGCAGAATTGCTAAATCACACACCAAAGAGATGAAAACTCAAGGTAGGAATCCCATCAATAATACCAAATACAACAAGAGAAACACCATAAGTATGGAAGTTTGGAAAAATGATCAGAACCAGACCAGCAGTTGTGAATGTTGAGATTCTTGATGAACGGGTAAAATGGACATCAGAAGATATCACACGTGTTTTCAAGTTGAGATATTTGAGCAAGAGTACGTTATCCAACGAAGAGGAGCTATGTTTATTTGAGAGATTCCTTGAACTATCCTTTATTATAGGTTCACTTATAATAGTATTTTTCATTAATTTTGTTCAGAATCATATTTTGTTATTTTTTTATGCTCAAATACTTCGATCAATTGCTCTGTTTTTGACTACAATATAATCAAACAATGAAATACTATTTCCTCTTGTATTTTCTATAGGTATCTAGGAAAGTTTGTTAATTTTTCAGAATACAGAGTTATATTGATAAAATAAGTGATCTGTTGTGTACGAATATTGGTCCACTGCAACTACTTCTGGATCATCAGTTGATTATTCTTATATTTTCTGTAGTTTCTTGTTCACATTATCTGATTTGCAGGATATTTATAGGATGAGTAGGTTCATAATCAATGCATAAGTAATCACTAGCTCCATAATTATGCTCCATACCTCAAAGCACACATACCTGGTACCACGACCTGGTAAATAGCCCCTGGAACAAAATTTCAGATAGGTATTCCTCTCTGTACTACTGATCCATCCAAAATTGCCTTCTCATTTCGAAGATTGAAGGTATTATACAGAAGTATATGTAAATATCTATATTTTATAATGGTACTTATAATTATATACTATAAATTAATATAAATATGCTGAGCAGACCAAAAAGTTTGTATCATGTTTGTATACTCTATTTGGTAAACATTTCATGACATGTCGCTTTGAGGTTGACAACTTGTCGTCTTACTGCCTGTGACGTCACGAGTGACCGTTTCCCCCCTTGCCGCACTATCGATCGAGGCAACCTTCCTATACAAATTATAATCAGTTCTACCAACCTTGTCTCGAATAATAACATTTTAGGACATATCAATTGGGAAGACCGTATTAACATGTATTAATATTTCCCATGAAAGTATTCAAGATTTATAGCTCATTCTGAAAAAAAAAACTCATAAATGTGAAATTTTGAGTTGTAACTCTGGATTAACTGCATGTCACAAAGAAAATCAAGTATTATTATTATTATTATTCTACAGCAACTGCCTGCCGCGACGAACGCTCATGGCTCCAGCAACAGCACGCAATACCCGAAGCCGGCAGGCTACAGCTCGGCGTACGGCAGCTACGACGCGCTCGGCCAGTCGCAGGACTACGCGAAGGGCGGCTACGCGGCCACCTCGCAGGGTCAGAAGGGGCAGGGCGGCGGTGGTGGGGGCGGCGGAGGTGGCACCTCGGCTGCCGGGGCGGCCGGCAACGATTTGAGCGCCATGTACGCCAAGTCGCACGCCGCCTTGGGGAAAGTCAATGTGAGTTTGATTGGATGAGATTAGTCTCCTGTAGACATAGATGCATAGTAAGTCGAATGGTGTTATCACTTCCTACTGAACAGCAACCAGCATGTCCAAATATTTCTTATTCATATATCTCCGTAACAAAATATAATGTGTATGTTAGAGACTTGGCAACATCGTGCTGAATGCTGAGAACTGACAAGACTACGCCCACAAGTCGTGGTTGTCACGTTCACCGATTCAAATGTCCTCTAGTGTGAATTAATATAATTATTATTTACACAAGTTTTGTACTTTAAACTCTACTTAGTAGAGAAAAAATGTATGTATCACCAAAGGCGCGTTGAAAGCGGTTAATGAGGTCTATAATCATACCTAGATGCAATCCGGTGTGGTTTAGATTATCTTCAACTTCAAAGATCGAGCCCCTAAACAGCTTACCTAAACTTCTCGAGAGTTGGTGATGATGACCTGGTAGCTGGATACCTGTAGCGATTCTATGGGGGCCCCCTTCTGGACTAGGTTGGTGGCGTGGGTTAATCCAATTCAGGAGGCCCTCACAAATGGGCGAAAACTTCGTATATGCAAAACCCGTTCGTTTTTTCTATCAAACAATGAAAATAAAAAATTCGTTGCGAAAATCACTATCGACGTATATCGTAAACAATCTGCCCCAACTTCAACACCCTGTATCTTGAGAATGAAGCAAATCAGAACTCGTTGAAGTTTGTCCAGATACTTCAATAACACCCTGCGTATCACTGAGATTATCAAGGGAAAGTATATAACGGCACTGAAAAATTATTTATATTTCAGTCAATTAACGCCCAAGTATATTACAGAGATAAATTAACGTCATCCTATTTGCGTAAAACGGGCTATCGGGAATGATTAATCACCAAATGTTGACAGTAAAGTTGTCATAGGTTCTCGAAAACACAAAGCATTGGCTGAGCCAGTTTAACACAACTAGAACTAGGATCCCGAAATCCTCTCTTTTTAATTCTTGTACGCTTTTTTATTGAATACGACTGTACGTCACAGCAACAAAAGTGAATCTATTCAAAATTGTAGCTGGCAACATTATCTACAAAATTGAATCAGTAGATTTTTTCCGTATCTTTAATTGTTTTCGAGATATCCGCTAGCGAGTCATGTAGATTTAATTTCTCAGAACTGCAATTTTTGTTAGGAAAAATATGAATAGCTAATGAATTGGCAGTCCTCATTACGAATGCAAAAATGTTCCGGAAATATAGGGGGTTCTATGGCTGTTGGTAATAGTGTGTATTTTCAGTATTTCTCCCGCTTCTACAAATTTCAGAAACCTAACTCATCTATCAGGAAAGATACAGGGTTGCTTCTATTAGAAGTGAAACACTATATATGTATGTACCTAAAAAATACATGTGTGACATAACATTTTGAAGGTAATTGAATCCTTTGTCCTCGTCGAAGACATTGGTGGAAAACTGAAGGTTGAGCCGTCAAAATGTCGATTTTCAAAAATCTACAAGATTCGCTACCGAATATCTCGAAAACACTGAAAGATATGAAAAAAACCTACTAACACAATTTTTTAGACAATTTTATCAGTTATACTTATAGATCGACTTTTTTGCTGTGCCTTACTGTTTTCAAGATGTGAACGATAATTCAAAAAAGGGACCTTTTATGTCGTCCGCTGCACTTTGCTCCCTTCGTAAGTTCGGGGAATTTTTACTTTCCATGTACTCCCGAACACATCGCTAGTCTCAAAAGAAGTCCTCTTCAATTTCCTCTACAACCCGTTCATTGACTGAACTAGAATAGTAATGATCGAATCATTTTCTTGAATTTTTCTACATCAATATACTATTTTTGAAATGAGTAAATGAATATTCCTAGATACGTCGATTTTTTTGTCATTTCGACTTCTCGTCCTTCAAGAACTATAGAACCACATATGGAAGTAAGTTGGATTCAAATGATGCAAAACGTAAAATGCAAGTGACTTCAATATAATATAATTTCTGATAATCTTTCTTCTTTCATTTTTAAATTTCTTTTTCAGATTCAAGATTATCGCTGTTGAAATTTGGACCATCCAGTGTACAGGGTTTTTCATAAAACAAACTACAACCGATAGTAGAGAACACTTGGGCATATTAAAATTACCCTTCATTTCAAAGCTCTTTTATTTCCAAAATGAAAGGTGCTTTTCCATTTGTTTGGCAAATATGAATAGATTTGGTGGAAACATCATGAAGAAATTATACTGTCGCCAAGAATGAAAAACCAACCGGGGTCTTGTAGGAAACTAGGGACCTTTGGGGTGCAGTATGAGCGTTTTGTGACACAACATCCTGTAGCTCTTGTTTATGATCCTAAACTACTGGTACTAAGACAGAGAGCTCTAATTAGTAACCGAAAAAGCACACTGAATTTTCACTCATTTATCATAAAGCATATTATTTTCGTATTTTATTTTCTTATGAAGTTAGTATATTATTATTAATATTAATCTGCTAATGCTGCATTTTATTAGTATTGATATAATTTCTGTGAAATTCACAAATTTTGTTTTGTATTGAGTTTTGTGATATGTATAAGGATAGATTATAACATAGCTGCATTTTAGCATCTATTAGGTAATACAAAATTGATGTCCTGACTTGACCCCTGATATCTTTTCTGTTTTAGATATGAGGTTTTTTGTTAATCTCTTGGAGTTTGTCCGTTACCAGCCATGCCAATATTATCAATATTATGTATCAAAAAAATACATGATAATAAAAAAGTTCAAAGATATTGATGTTTTTGTTTTAAATTGAATAAGGTCATATCTTTTTTGTTAATGAATAAAGAATTGATTCACATTTGGTCGAGTATTTGCCATTTCTCCTTCAACATATTATTTCATTAGGACTGCCAGGTCTGTGGCTTGTTCACAAATACGTAATATCCGGAAAAAAAACCAAAGATGAGTAGACAAGTCAGGTGTTTTTGCGTGCCAATACATCACGAAAACATGATATCAGGCGATTGAACAATATTAAAATGGATAGCGCTGGCCTGTGTTTTATATTTGTCTTCTGCACAAATGTCAAATCAAGATTAGGTTCAATTATTGTAATATCAGTTAGTGATATTCGTTTGTTCTGAACCCAGTGAATGAACTGATGAACGTGAAACTGAATTTCTGTATCATTGACTGGATCAATACAGAAATGCCATGTTTCAGACGAAAGATCAGATCTGTCCTTCCCTCAAATAGGTTGAGGTTAGGGTTACTGAATTTACTATAAATAAATTACAACTATTCATTCAGGCAGTATAAAAGAAGTGTAAAATAATCCTGTGTGCCTATTTATCAATTTATATCTTGACAGAACTGCCAGAATATGACTACTGAACAATGTGATCGAAAAAATTCTTGGTTTTTCAAGTTCACCTCTATTCACCACCAATCGAAAAGCGGCGTTCACAACCAAACTTTTTACGTTTCGTATTATGATTGGTGAAGCAAAATCTGTAATTGAAATGACGCAAAAAGCTGAATATTTTCAGCTTAAAGCGGCGTACACAACCAAACTTTTTAAGTTGCGTATTCTGACTGGCGAAGCAAAAACTGGAATTAGAATGAAACAAAAAGCTGAATAGATGATTAAGCACAAGTGACAAAACCGAGGTAACTGAGCAAAGTCGTAAAAACTCACGTTGAAGTTTTTTTTTGTTGAGAATGACATTTGCCCCAATTTAATTCAGTTTAATTTCAGATTCTGCTTCACCAATCAGAATACGAAGCGTAAAAAGCAAAACGTAAAAAGTTTGGTTGTGGACGGTTCTTTATACAGGTTGTTATTTAAGTATGTGGCCATACTTCAAGAGTTTACTTTTCGAGTGAATCCAAGTTGAAAAAGTCATGTAAGCATGGGTCCGGAAATACACCGTTTCCAAAATACGTCAAAGATTTGGAAATTATGTATTTTCGGACATATGGTCATATTAATTTTCGCCTCAGAATCTCCAAAAAATCGCCACTCGAAGTTTGACTACATACTTAAATAACTATAATATAATCTTTATAACTAATAAATGACCTGTAAAGCGAGAGAATTCATGTTAACTGATTCGGTTAAGTTCTAGTAAACTATTTCATTTGGTTCAGATCGAAAGAGTATGACAACTGTTACATAAGTTGATGCATCATTCACAGTGAGATCAGAATGATCTAGTATCTCTTGATAACTTGGTTAGAGAAAAGGTAGCTCGAGTATTTTTAGAAGATCGATATCGAATTTGGATTCAACTTCATTGGATTTATATGTGCAATAACTATATCAGCTGTACTAATCTACCTGAAATATTGTTAGTCCTCCAGCTATACAGCGTGTGCTTGAAGACGTTACCAACTTTCGTATTTCGAATAGGAACTTTTTTCCATACGGTTCGATTGGTCTTCTAACTCTTAGTTTAGACAACCTAATTATGCCAAATTATTCATAACATTTTTCGAAATACAGGGTGTTCCAAAGTTGCTGTGACACAGAGCTACCACGTGTAATTCTCAAAATGAGTTGATTGGACCCAACTAATTTATGTAAAAAAATATTTTTGTGCGCTGTGCACTTTTGTCAAATTTCATCCAATTTGTTTCACTCGTTTTTTAACAGTGTACAAAAATGTTTTTTCTACGGCTACAACACAAAATTGCTCTTGTTTTACTGTCTTTGATACATCTATGTATCTGTATCAATGTTACTTTGTATGTCATCAATTTTATTTCCGTATCTGATATCACAATGACTCCATTGTGTCATTATTTCAAAAATATCTCATCGCTCATGGAATATCAAATTTGAAGCAATGACAACTCTGTCTAATAGATGAGCATCGCCTGACAGAAAATCAGATGGCCAAAAGACGAATACATCAAAAATGTCTCTGTTATTTGTTACTGCCGTAGAAAAATTATAGTGTATAACTCGGACACCCTGTATATCGATTTTTCTGAAAATAATTACTGTTGTAAT